CTACTCTCTTTTGGCCAGATCATTCGGGCGCCATCTTACTCAAATGTACGTATTTCTTGATTCCAACATAAAACAGAAAGCATCTCCTTCTGGACTCATCGGGGGCAATCGTCGAGTTCAGTGCGCCGAATCAACCACTAGGACAGACGACGACAGGAAGACGATGGTCCTTGGGCGCGCCGTTGGAGGAGATGTTCGACATGACGAAATTATTGGGGGCGAACGCTACTGGAACTATTATATTTCTTTTTCCCTTTGGTGGAGAAGAAAACTATATAACTTTCCGTGCTCCGCAGACGGATCCTCAAAGCACCGATGAGTCGACTCTTGCATCCGCTACGAAGTCGACGAGGTTAAAGTGAGTGGGACTGTCCAGGACTATGCGTCGAGCAGGATACAATATTGCCATAACGAAATGGATTTCATTGTTTTCACCACAAAGGTTTGGCATGGCTAGCCTCGGATCCTGCCTTGATTGGGTCTAGAAGATCGACCTAGGACAGGAATGATCGTGTTTGCTTGTCTCAAGTTTGGGAATCTTTTGTGACGTGGGCAACCATTTTTGATTGGGGCCGATAGTGGATTTACTGGTGTATAGCAGAGGCCACAGCATTGAGATTTATTGAAGTTTTTCAAAACAACCCCGCGATTTCGACCGGCAGGGTTGACCCTTTACTAATTCATAGTGCTATGATTGACGATGGACCTGGATGTGCGGATTCGCGTCACTGTGTGGGCAGCGCCGATCAGGGGCAACTAACTTAGAAGGCCGAAGGATGGAGAAAACATGGAGACAATGAAGATCCCAAGATGCTCGTATCTTGAGTCTTCGCGTCTGCCTGAGCCCTGAGGATACTATGTCATGCATGAGGATTTGTTCAGGGTTTATTGATCAGCCGCTCTCCAGTGGGCCTGTGTGTTGCTTCTCGAGCGCTCTACGCAAAGGCAGCTGCTATATTCGCCACTTCTGCTCAATCTACCAACCCAGCCCGAAGATGCCAACACCGGTTTCGGTCTATTTAGCCATGCCAGCTAGTACTGGTGGTAGAGGATGCTCTATTGGCACCATCGGTCATATTGAGGTGGTTGGCTTTGGTGGTCGTTTGCCCGGGCTGGGAGAGGAAAATCCTTTCCTCGAGGGTGATTTCCGGTCGGGAACTGGCAGATCTGCGCCCAAAGAATATGATTGACTTTTGATGAACCGACGCCCATGTCTCTCAGAAGGCGACTCTATTCAAGTTCAAGTGATCTAGCTGCTCGTGAGTTCTGTTGAGGCCAAAATGCGATCAGGAATTATGCGACGCATCTATGACGAGGCGGTTAGTCAAAGCATGGATATCCCGAATCGGCTACATAAAGTCCGATAGCGTCGCTCTAGCCAAATATTTCATCCTCCAGGTTGTCGCTCTCGTATTATCTCGCTTCGGTCTGCCACGTATTGCGGTTATACGCCAACCGCCTATGTAGCCTTGCAGCCTCGTCGGATCCCTTGCCCAGCTGTCTCTCTTCTCACCATTGCTTGCCCTCATCTTTTACATCACACGACCTTTTACTCCGTCGAGACAGCCCCTAGAAGTACGAAGACACCCTCCTAGGTAGAGGAAAGTGACCGCCATCCTCTGCTCTCTCCTTTTGGACTGAAGTCTTCCTCCATCTCCCACCGGTCCGGAGACCGGTACCTGCGCATAACTATGCCACTCACAGCCGCGGAAATCCTCGCCCATCCGGCCTTTGACACCATCAACTGGCACTTGGCGCCCACACGGTCCGGATATTGCGAGACTGCCAGGGGGAGACACGGAGGTCCCTTTCAACTATACTGGGAGATCCATGGGAAGGGGGAGGTTAAGTTAGTTGTAGGTCCCCCCCCCCCTCCTCCCCCTTCTTTTCTTTCTTTCTGTACTTCTTCTTCGCCTCTTGTGTGTTATTCGGTCGGCAGGCCGGAGATGCCGGTTGGATATTGTATTGAATTGTGTGTTCCGACATGAAGAAGTGATCGAGAGGTTGGAAAACCCATGAGACTTGTCGGAAAACTGGGTCAATTGGCTATGTACAGGACCGCGTCATGTTGGGGCAAAGAGAAGTCAGGCGCCATTAGAGGCAGGAAGTGGTTTGTCTGTCTTAGAGACGCCGACCGGCGTGAACTGCTCATCAGCTCTTTTCGCCCCGGTCTTGACCGTCGACTCAGGACAACTCCCATCTACACAGTTACCTCCATATTCAGACCTACGCTGACGGCTTCATTCACAGTGGATAATGGGCCTCGCCGCGTACCGCACAGCCTGGAAACGGCAGACCAAGTACTTCGGCCACGACCGGCGTGACAAGTACTCGTGCTTCGTGTTCGACAACCGTGGAATGGGTCTCAGCGACAAGCCTGCGTGCCTCTATTCCACGTCTGAGATGGCTCGAGACGTGATTGACATGCTCGAACATGTCGGCTGGCTTCCACCGTCGTCAGCTTCCTCTGCATCTCCTAATCATGAAGGATCCGACACAATCAAGACGAGTCCTACTCCTCCACAGCGAGACCTGCACATCATAGGCGTCAGCATGGGCGGTATGATCGCCCAAGAACTGTCCCTTATCCTCCCGCAACACATTGCCTCGTTGTCGCTGATCTCGACGGCCCCGCGCATCGTGCGCACTGTACCTTTTGTCCAAAACCTCCGCCAGCGCATCAACATGTTCATCCCGCGCGACATCGACGTGCAGCTGGAAGAGATCGCGCACCGCCTCTTCTCCGAAGAGTTCCTCGCGACGCCGGACAGGGAGCACCCGGAGCGCAACTTTCCCACTAACCGTGACCGCTTCGCTGCCGGCGAGCTGCAGAAGCGCATGGACAAGAAAGGATTCACAAAGAAGGGCTTCATGCTGCAGGCCATTGCGGCCGGGTGGCACCACAAGTCGGCCCACCAGATCCAGAAAATGGGCGATCTGGTGGGCAGAGAGAGGATCGCCGTGGCGCACGGCACGATTGATCGCATGATTGATTTCCGTCACTTTGAGATGTTGCGCGACGAGCTGTCCGAGGACCCCGCCGGCGATAAATCCGAAGATACAGCGCGGGGATCCTGCGTGTTTCGAGTCTGGGAGGGCAAGGGCCACGTGCTTGTGTGGGAGGCTGAAGACGAGTTTAACGGATTTTTGGAGGAGCGGTTCAAGACGTGTGCGAGCTTGGGAGGCTGATCCCAAGCCTGACTCCATGCTCTATCCTTCTACGTCGTGTTCGGAGCGTGTTGAGTACGCGGTGCCATGAAGATTAAGATCGGGAGTGACACTAACATTATCACCCGGAACGAGAGCAGGAGCAAGAGCAGGAGCAGGTCCAAGAGAAGGAGTATACCCACAACCAGAGCAGCCCGGAATAAACACCCCCTACAGTAGGTACTAGAAGTAGACGCGAAAGACGGACCTCGTATAGAACAGAACAGGATGTATACTACCTATCAACATCAGGAGGAGGAATCCCAAGTAACGACCACCCCGGAGATATACAAACAAGCACAACGCATAGGAACATCTGGAGCACAGTCCAAGGAATCCGTATTCGCGGCAGGGTAGGAGACATTTCCTTGTTCTCGGGTTCTTGCTCTTCTTCACGCCTTGGCTTCCTCTCCTTCTAAGAGCTTCGAAGAAACACTCAGGTTCAAACCACGAGGTAGGGCTTCAGGGGGAAGAAGGATTGAGCACGGGGACAGAACAGAGAAGTAATGGGGTACGATGTGGTGAACTGAGATCTCTTCGTTTCGAATGCGTCCGCCGACTACCCTTCCATCCTTCGCTCCGTTGATATACAAAACTTCCGCCTTCTCCTCATGCCACTGGAGATTCCCGTCCCTGTCGAGCGGAGATATATACATCCTCTCTTTTGTTGTACACGTCTTCCGCTTCTTGGATAAACACCCGTCAGTGACGAGATAAACCTCGTATTCGTTGCTGAAGATGTAACATCCATGTGCAAAGCCATAAATAACGCCGTGCTCTTCTTGCCCGTATATACACCTCCATGTCACAACGCCCGCGCTATGCTCCGTGAAAGCCATAAATGGATCTGCTCCGTAGCCCAGGGCGTTTGTAGAATGTTTTCCTGATTACACCCTCCGTCTCGATTATCCTCGTTACCCGTTTCTCTCCAGAAACTCCTTTGCCTCGTTAACCTTGCTGGCCAAATACGGACTGCCGCCTCTGTCCGGGTGATTCGACAGCATCAATGCTCGATGATTTTTTCGGATCTTCTCCTTTGTGAGTGTTCTCTCGCTGAGGTCAAGGATGAGCGACGCCTCTCGCCGCGTCATCTTAGGTTCGAAGCCGCCCTTGTAGAATGGCCGACCAAGCGCGTTGAGCCCGTTAGGGTTGCGCCAGCGACGGAATGCGACCAGGCCAGCACGGCCCTGTGATGTGTTGTTAGTATGCTAGCGGACAGAGAGGGGAATGGAGTTCATGAGGACGAGAGGGACGTACAAAGAATGCAGCGGCGGCGATGCCCACGCCGATGGCGAGTGTCGAGGCCATTCTGTTTTGCGGTCGAGAAATCGGCGCAGGACGCTTTTCCTTCCTTTAAAAGGCGACGAGGATCTTCGATAATATGGAGATGCTGTCAGTGGAGAGGATGAGTCGGAACCAACGTTGTGTCGTGGCGAGGAAGGGAATCAAGCAGCCCAACCCTCAGCTAAAGAGGTCGACGACATGGACCATCGCTGCGGAAAGAAAAAGATTCGCCTTCTAGAAAGTCGGCTGGCTTTCCTCATGTGGAAATCCCGATGCCGCGAATTCTCCCGAGAGATTACCGCGGAGCATTTAATGCATCAAGCGAAGAACACTTTAAGAGATTTATGCTCCGCCGCATTCCTATCTGCTCTTGGAAGGCCAATGAAGGCCTGGTGACAGCCTGACACTCCCCGTTTTGATCGTTCTGTCCGCCCAAAGGCCAACGACCCATGGAAAACGCAACACTACCTACGTAGATATCAACTTCTCACTGTCACATCGGCAACATCCTACCAAAATGCCAGCACCCTGGCCTCAATGCTCTCTCTGGGTTCCTCATCCTCGGTACCTACGACGAAAGGACTCCCGTGTCCCCCAGCCGCCGCAACGTCCTTATCGTGCTCACTGTCCGTATCTGCAAACTTGATCATCATCACCTCGTGTGGCTTCTGTTCAGAGACGTAGTACCATTCGTGGTCCGCGGGCTTTTGCGGTCGCGAGATGGTGTACGCTTCGAGCAGATACTCTCCCTGGAAGCCCTTGGCTCGGTAGTCGAAGGTATGGAGGTCGTTGTGGATATTGCCCGGAGACTTCCAATTCAACACGGCAATGGGATCCCGCTTCACTGTCTTGAGTGGCCTCCACACGCTGTACGCCGCCACGCGCGGTCCTCGATTTCCTGCCTCGTAGGCTTTGATCGCCTCGGCGCCAGCTTCGGCGAAGTCGGCGCGGCAGTATTTGATCGTGTCGCGGAGACCTTTGAGCGTGTAGTCCACGTGCAAAGCGCGGGCCGGTTCGAGAGATCTTTCCGGCTCCTGCGGAGAAACTACAGTGTCGAGGAGTGCGTAGTCAGCGCATGCGTCCGGTTCTATCAAGATGATTCCGGGGAAGAATGACGAGGTCAACCTACTCATTGGACGGTCAGACGGGAGTGCACTAATCATCTTGTCCATCTCTCCGCCACGCGGATGGTAGAAGGTCCTGTCCGCATCATATTCCCGCGCTTTCTTACGGCGAAAAGCGACATTGTTGACGATTGCGGTTTTGCACCCCGTCACGGTCTCGACAAGTTCTTGCACCGCCGGGATGTATGTTTGCAGGATGTCTTCCTCGGTCGCCCACGCGCTGGGGTCAATGTGGTGCTCGACGACCGTGAAACCATGCTTGTGGAGGCCCTCAGCACCCTTAGCCAACTTTGTGTCGGTCCGGTAGTCGTTGAGGGTCAATTTCTCCTCCCTGACGTTTCTCGGTGCTGGCCTGGAGAAAAGACTCCGCTCCTCGGCGGGGACAGACCGGTCGGGCTCCTCGTACCGGAAAATGGCCTCGACAGCTGGGGCAGATGTTGTTGTTGTCGCTGTCGTTGTGACCGACATATTGATACTATGATATGTGACTTCCCGAAGGATACAAATACAAAGGTGATCTCAACCAAACTATTGTATCGGTATTCGGCAGTGACAGGGCTAGCTACTTGCCCGCTTGGTTGTTCCTTTCTATTCATTCTTTTCCTCCGCCGGGAGGGGCGACTCCAGTTTTATATCATCCCACGCGTGGTAAGCCTAAGCTGACAGGGACATAATATTTGCCACGGCCCAAAGCCCACCACGAAGAACCAGACAAGACGGGACAAGACAATATAATACCAATCCAAGTTAGTTACCGATACATGCCTACCTGAGGCCTGTGTACCTACCTACCTACCAGTCCCCGAGGATCCTCCCCAGGCCTTTCTCCTTCATGAGTTGACTTCATGGCTTAGATACACAGGCAGGTATGTAGTTAGAAGTGAGTTCCACTGCTGGTCTACGATGGATGATGAATTGTGAGTGGAGTGAGCGAACACTGATATTCTTTCTGTTCTATAGTCGCAACGCGCCAGTCTATCACCTGCATTGAAACAAAAGGTCTTGGCTGAGCTATTCTTGGATATGCCGAGTTGCCTGTTCTATTCGACCACAACCAAAAGAGCAGGGAGGAAGATTGATTCCACATCGATCAGTCTTGAGACGAGCGATTGATCAATCCTCCCGACGACCCTCGCACGTCGCCACGGGACCTGTATATTTTCGACGGGCGCTGAAGACGTAGTTGATCGCCGAAATCAACATGACTCCGGCGAAGAGGACGATCGCCCAGTTCATCTGTTTGGAAAAACTCATGTCAGCACTTTCTTTTTATGTCCGACCAAAGCGTCAATGGGCGTTCTTCTCACCTCTTCGGCGTTGGGTTCCCAATATATGGGCCAAAATGCCCAGAAGAAAGCGAAGGTGGCATAAGTGAGGCCGAGCCCGTTGACCGGGATCCCCCACTTGCCCAGGCTCCAAAAGACCGGCGGGAGAGTCTCTGGCAGCCAGATGCGGCGCCAGAGCACACAGGCGATGCTAATTGCGTACGTGGCCATCAGCGCCACGATGGCCAGGCTGATGATCGCGTTGAATGCCACGGGGCTCCCCAGGTAGATGAGACTCATGACCACCGTGTACCCCCAGGTGACGTAGCATGCATTGGCAGCGACGTTGAGTTGCGGGTTGACTTTCTTCATCCAGGTTGGAAAGGGCATTCCGTCGTCGCGGGCAAAGGCGAAAAGTTGACGAGAAGTCGAGGCGAAGCAACTGGTGGCGATCATGAACACCAAGATCTTGGGGGCGTGACGACTTGGTTAGTGACCGTGGAACGCTTACTGAACGAAACGCATTTCGCAAGTGAAAACTTACAAACATGATGGCCGTGATGGCTTGAGCACCCGCCGTGCTGAGAGAGTTTTGCAAGATCCACACAAACGGGAATGCTTCGGTGGTGGCAGTGGCGACGTCGGTCATGCCAAACAGGAAGACAATCAGCATGGCGAACGCGAGAGGAATGTTGAACATGTATGCCCAGAACATAGTTTTCGGCGTGACTACGCTGGCGTTCTTGACTTCTTCCGCTGCATTTGCGGGTCAGTGGACTGCTTCAAATCGGCGCTGGGAGGAGCGGGAGTTGTGTGCTTACAGAGATGAGCGACGGCATCAGAGGCCAGGACGTTCCACATGGCAGGTACTTGGCCGACCATGACAGCGAGTCCCACTACAGACACCCAAGGTCAGTGTATGATGCATCAACTCGAGCAAAAAATCTTTGTAAGGGATCGGAAAAGACAACAGTGGTTCTCTGTGAGAGGCCCAACGTACTCAGTGGGAAGTTACCGCCATTGTCGGTAAAAGTGAGAAAAACCTCTCTCCCATCGTTCTTGGGCGCTGCGACGGCAATGGTGATGAGAACGACAAAAAACCCGGCAACATGCAGAGCGACGAAGACATTTTCCAGCAGCGCCAGCTTCTTTGCGCCCCAGACATTGATGGCAGTCACAAAGCTGCCGATGAGAATGCTCAGGAGCGCGGTATACCAGTTCTTAATGTCAAAGTCTGGGTTCCCGAGCTGGACCAGCGCCATGACAAGCTGGGCCGCGAACATGCAATCGGAAGCGACAAAGGATTGCCAGCAGAGAGAGCTAAGCCAGCCTGAGGTGTAGCTGAGGCCCTTTTGGTAGCGTCTGGACGCAAATTCGCTGACCCAGTGGTACTGTCCTCCCGCCGTGGGCGCCATGGAAGCCATCTCGGCAAGGCTGAGGACGATGAAGAATTGGCCCGTGATGACCCAAGTGTAGCTCCAGAACATGCCGGCTGTGCCACCGTCGACGAGCATTTGGAAATTGTTCAAGGCGACAAACTCCGTGTAGCAGCTGTTAGTCCTCCTACGAACCGGTTGGCAAAGGGGAACAGGAAGAGACTTATCAAGTGCCCATTGTGCATGAGGTGAAGCCGACACTGCTGATCCAGTTGAAGTTGCGCTTGAACTCCTGCTTCTTGCCCATCCTCGCCATGTCCTTTTCATCTTGATCGATGGCATCGCTGCTGTTGTCGCTGCCAACTGCCTCGGCCGAGTATAGCCCTTCTTTCTTGGGAAGGCTGTCGTCCAAAGTCGCCATTTTTCAGGGCTGCCAGGTTTTGACAAGCACGGGAGAGGGAGAAGGATGTCAGGACGACAAACAGTCGAGGGGCAACCCGGCTGGACCAAATAGTATCATGTACTCGGTAACAAGGTGAATGGTGAAATTACCACCACAGTCTAGACCTCAACGTCCATTCTCGGAGGCGAGTGCAAATGCATCGCATCTACCAAGTACTTACCAACACCCACCCACCAGGGACATAAGCTTTTTCGTACCTGCTCGTAGCGGTAAGCTTCGAAAGATAAGGAAATTCGGGACTTGTCCGCAGGTGCCTCGTCAGCCTCCGTGTCAGCCAATTGATTCGAGCCTCGCCAGACAGCCTTTAGATAAACATCGACGAGGGATACGAAACAAATCATCTCGGTGTTGCAGAAACGGCGCAGATTGCAATATCGAGGATTCGTTGCCAAAATAGACTTCGACGGCACCACGAAGCTTACCCAGGGAATTGTTGGACCCCTTCGAACAGACGGTGTCGGCGGTCAGAATCCTCCACTGTTATCGTCAACAAGACCTTCAGGAGTTTCGCCTGCAGCGCGAGTTCTCACTCTGGCAGCTAATTAGCCTCACTCCAGAGAGCGCCGTCCATACCCAGTCGGACTTTCTCGCAGTTCAGCGCCCTGCTGTCACTTCAGCCACCACGTGGCTTTGGCATCACATTGGCTCCGTTTATCCGTGAACGAGGTCAGTAGTGCGTCCTCATCTGAAATGGCGCTTGGTTTAGTCCCGAGTACACACTCTCGCAGCCCCGTATCGTGTCTCAGCGTCGAAGCTAGGAGATGTCCATCATCGGCATTGACCCAGGCGTCCTGCCAACACAGCGAGTCAAGGTTGGTACCTCCTTTTAGCGAGTGGTAGGGCGCAGAGATCAAGTTGCAACAAAGGCGATCAAACCAATGATCTGAAAGAAAGGATGATTTGGTCCCTCTCGATCGGTCTGATCCAATGCCATAATGAAGTTAGCTGCCCCGATAGTCAGATCCAAAATCATGGGACGGCTGTCCTTTGACACATCCCATCACTGAGCCATGCTTGATAAGACATCCGTGGCCCTGAATGCACTTTGCACCCGCGGTTTGGGAAGTACCATCGCTCTCTTTGTATGGGAAGCACTGGGTGAGTGTGGCATTGGGAGCCCTGCCGCTGGTTCAGTCTCGATTTGAGGCTCCTCATGAACTGTGGTTGACTGTGTCGCAAGGCCTGTCGATCGGTCGGCGAGGTCCTTTCTAGACCGTTGCTCGCCCATTATTGAGCTCTCGCGATATGCCGGATATATATAGGGGATGGTAACATGCACGCTGGGCGCTGTGCTGTCCATAGAGAAATAGAGAAAGCAAAGCAGTTGACAGGGCAATTGGTCTTCGTCATGTGATAAAGGCTCGAACTCATGTCCTCACCTTGATACTGACTCCCTCCGGTTCCTTTAGAATCACCAAGCTCGCATCCTTTTCAACTTACAACACCAGCCGCCTTGTACCCCGGACGAGAGCTTTAGCTTCTCCTTTCCAGCTCACGCGGGGAAGCTTCATCTCCACTTTGTACTCAGTATGGGGTATTGACGAGCAGCTGCTTCACCTGTGCAAGCTTTTCCGACGACCCTTCGAAGCTTGGACCAGACCCTGACGGCCAAACCGAGGCATTTACTTCGAGGATACCATGCTTTCATGTTTTGTAAACACAGTGCCGCCTTCGGGCGCCCCTCTTGGATCCCTCGGCGATATATCTACAGACTACGCTGAATTACTTGAGACCATCTAGGATTGTAGAAATGACCAGCCAAGGATCTCTTCCGCCGTGTCTTTACTGGCTTCATGTCTTCAGCGGCGACTCTCAAGGTCATTGTAGTTGGTGGCGGCATCGCCGGCCTGTGTACTGCCATTGGATTACGCCGTGCTGGCCATGATGTCCGCCTATTCGAGAGAGCGCCAACCGCCACAGCCTTTGGCGCCGGGGTTGTGATCGGCTTTAATGCTTCAAAGGTACTCACATCATGGGGGCTGGACTATGCAAAGTACCACATCAACGTTGCCGAGACATTCAAAATGGTCAAGGGCGACACTTTCGAGGAAATAATGAGTTTCCCGCCCGGCCTCTACGAGAAGCTTGCGGGCGGAAGCCGACAGTACTACGCTCATCGAATCGACCTCCAACGAGCCCTGCTCAACCTCGCAACTCAGCAAGATGCACCAGGACGGCCCGTGGCCATCAGCTATTCTGCTGATGTTGCCGCATACGAATCCGAGGAAGGGAGCATAACGCTCAGAGATGGTTCGAAGTACAAGGCAGATTTGGTCGTCGCAGCGGACGGCGTGCACTCGCTTGCACCGCACTGTTTACTCGGTTCAAACGCTGCCGCCTACGACATCTCTCACACGGGCACCACCATCATCCGTTTCATGCTTCCCTCTTCTGCCGTTCTCTCCGACCCGCAAACCGCACACCTCATCGCTTCCTCTGGGCAATTCACCTGGTTCGTCCACCCTGACCGCAATCGCTGGCTGCTGCAATATCCAGTTCGCGACAACAGCGAGATCAACTATGGTATGTACTCCCGCGTAACCACCAACGAACAGGTCACAGAACAAGTGTCCCGGTTTAAATGCAATCGCGAAAGTCTCCGCCGTGAACTCGAAGGTTTCCATCCCGATATCGGAAAGCTTGCGGAGAAAACGAGTGAGATTTTGCCTGTGTGGAAGCTTGCCGAGAGACCACCCCTCCCGACGTGGTTTAAGGGAAGGCTCGTTGTGGTGGGAGACGCAGCTCATCCAATGCTGCCGAATCAAGGTCAAGGCGCGGGTATGTGTATCGAGGACGCAGGCGCGTTGGGGGCCTTGTTTAGCGAGATGCAAGAAACCAGCACAGAGAGTATCACCAGGAGATTGGAACTGTTCTTCAAGTTGAGATATCCGAGAGCTTCGTCTGTGCAATTGATTAGCCATTGTCCATATTTCGAGGATGCGGTTGGAATCATGTGGGCAGAGCTGGTCAAGGTGGCGAAACCACAAGACCTGCCCAGAATCAACGACAGGAATAATATAAGAGAGTGGCTGTTCGCGTACGATGTGAACTCTGAAGCGGGAAAAGTCCTCAAGGCAGAACAGGACTTAGCATTGAGGAACGGTCTTGTATCCTGACAGAACTGAGCGGCGGAACATTCCGACACGAAGAAAGCTCTGGATCAAATGAAACATATCTTTACCCGGCACACCTGTTCACTTCCCCCAGCAGGAAGGATGCGAGAGACACAAGGGTCCTTGTGAGCTGGGTAGGGATTCACCCTTGCTCTCTCAGCCTTGCCATCACGAAGATTTCGGTCCTAAAGCAGCGCCATCCACCACTAACCCCCCCCAAAGCCTCCCCTTTGGCTTTCCGCTCCACCACTTTCTCCATCCGGATCCAAGGATAAATGTACGACGTTCGGGAAGCAGGAACACAGAAGTGCAGTTTCTCAAGCTCCTATACAGCATCAGGCAGCTACCTTCTAACGCCTCCCCTCGGACGTTCCTTGCTCCCGACGTTCTACCAAGTCACGAACTTTGGCACTTCCTTGTTGGAGTCCTGTTCGGGGTCGCTTGGACGACCTTCACTCAACCTCGTACTCGTGCCTTCAGAGGCTCGTACTGCTGGCCTGAAGACTCTCACTGCGACGCGGGCCCAGGGAGAAAGCGCCAGCTGAGTACCAAAAATATGAGGCAGGAAAGGGGAAAATCGCCTGCAACGTAAAACGAATGCGACGTTGTCCCGTGGGGACTAGCCTGGTGTTGCGGCTGTGCTCTCGCTCACACGAAGGTATCATAGGAGATTGCCCAGATTTCAAGGGTGGTGCGCCGTCATGAGCCCCGGTAGTGTCAAATTGTCCAAGGGCCATGCGGCTAGTGGGCTGAGAAGTCGAGGCTCATACAGTAAGGGGTACAGAATGCAAGACAACTACCTATGCGAGTCCGTACTTCAGGGGGAAAAAAAATGGTACAGCCTCACAAGGGTCATCGGGGCATGGGCAGATGCGAATATGTTCTCCGTCCAAACTAAATACAGTTTGGACCACTGTATGGAGTATATCAGGGACCATCCAACCCGATGCTTGATGGATAAGGTATCCGGGATCGGCGTAGAGAAAAAAGGACCGCCCTGGCCGGAATCAATCTCCCTAGCATTGGCTTAGTCTGCTTGCTCGTGCATCTCACTACCTCATCATTCCTGATACAACGTACAGTTGCTCCGTTACATGTCTTCCCGTTCTCTCGTCGATCTGCAATCGATCTCTTCTCCCCCCGTATCAGATACCGCATGTCCATCCTAAATCATCGCGTCCCCTTCAAATCTAGGACTCATTGGGGACCCTCCTTCGCGCAAGGAACGCCTCGACATCGACCTCAGAAACGGGTATCGTGTCCTGCTCAACGATGTGGTAATAGCCTCGCATTTCAGGAAAGACGTCGGCAAACTTCTGGCTGATGGACCAGTGCGACAGGATAGATATGTGGCTGGCAAAGGTGTCTGACAGAGTCATGATGCCGGTCTCCGGGTCCGTCGCGATCGCCGCTTCCAGCCCGTATGCCCAGTTGACGCTGCATCCGAGAGTCTGGATGGCCACGATGTAGTCCCGCATGTCTTGAATCAAGCCATCGCGCATCTCGGGGCTGGGGGAGGGCAAACACCCAGGCGCTTAGAATTCAGAGCAAAATTATGCAGGAGAGGTGGGGGAGACTTACAATATTGGCAGATCCACGCCGGGGTGGTGACGGACTAGTCTTTGAAGAGGCGTTGGTCTCATCGCGTTTGGGAGCAGTGCATATGTCTCAGCCGAAGGTGCAATTGTCCACTATTTAGTCCGTCAGCTGAGTTGGGTTTTTTCCCCCTCCCCGATTTCAATAGCTTGAGACTGACACGCATGAAATGGGTAATGGTGGAAATCCACGCCAAAGCTACATATATGTCAAAGTTCTTGAGGAGACGCATGTACTCGCAAGCCCACGTCGCCGGCGTATGTGGATCGTCGGGCCTGCGCTCGCGAAAATAGAGGGCCAAGTCGACTTGCGAAGATCCCAGGACAACTTCGACGGGAAATCCTGCAGCCAGCTGTCTCCGACCATAATCGCGAAAATCAGTATATACTGCAGCCATTGGACATTGTTCTCCCTCGAACAACATCGGCTGGACGAGGTACTCGGGAATGTCAAGATTGACCATCTGCTGCCGTTGTACGGGCAAACTCTGACCTGTGTCCATCTCAGTTGATAAGAAAGGGAAGTCACCGAATATGCTGATCAACTCTACGCTTGGAGTCTCGCGCTCCCTTAAACAAAAGATTCGATATTGGTCTCTGGGGTCCGTTGGTCTGGGTTTCTGCACAGTTGCATCGGTCAGGATTGGCAGATACCATTGATCATCGTGCGAACCGGCTGGGCTGGTTAATCTGTTAGAGGGACCTGCTTTAGGCGCAGCTTCAGCGGTTCCTTCCGAGAGAATCGCTTTTCGCCGTGTCGACTCTTCTTTCTGACCCATGTCCTCCTCAAACTGCTCTCGATCTGTCGCTCGAGTATGGGAAAAAGACCAAGGCTCGTGTTGCGCCAGGTGTGACGAGGTTGACGAGGTTGCTGCCAGTTCGGGCTCGTCCAAGCCTAGCCTCTGCGCAAGCACTCGAATTTGAGAATCAGCTCCAAGCCTTTTTCGAATTTCATCATCCCCGGAATAAATCAGTTGGAGAAGCCGCTGCACCATCTCCTTCTGCAACGCGGATCTCGTCTCGGCTCGCTCCCAATGGATTTTGCGTCGCCTGTCAAGAGTTGCATCATATACACATGTGAGTCCCGATCGACTGCAAGCGCTACAAGGGTTGCCCCCAGAGCACTGATGAGAACGCAAATGTCAGAAGAACACGATCGAGCATACCGAGGAGGCCTGTCACCTTGGATTTCCGGATCTTGCAGCTGAAACAAGCCGTTGACGCTTTGCGCCTGGACGGGCCCGAACTCGGGGCCAGGGCGAGCGCCTCCACTCTGGGACGGATATGGCTCATTCGATCGAGATACTGGGGTAGGATTGTGTACTTGTATGTCAGTCGAGTTCAGAGTGGTTTTGATGCTGAGAATCATCTCTGGCGTATCCACAACTTCGGTGATCGTTGATGTGGAGTGACGGGGTTCGTGGGGGTAGGACGTTGCCATATGATGGTCACTCGGCCCCAATAAGCGGAAATAAGCATCCCTCTTCTGGTGCAGTACTTGTACTTGTTAGGAGAGTTTGGTGGAAGCATATAACAATACTTGGAGTTGGAACGGTTCAAATGCAGTGGCACTGTACACGTGATAATGGGCTGATGGTGCTGATACGCGTCGATAACTCCTTTTGTTATGGCGTTGGCTTGACTCGCCGCGGGAGGCACTACTATTCCAAAAGCGGTAAAGCCGCATGAGAGGGGAAACTTGGAAGTTCCGAACAGTTTTTCCTCGCCTTGGCAAAGATTTTCCGCCTTGTTCGTTTCCACATCGTTGAAGACGGTAACCCTCGCCCGTGGTCTCAAATACGTTCTTCAGGTCGTCAGGTTCCGGGCAGGCCGAGTCAACGAAGAACTACCACAGCCATTGTCACTACGCCAGAGCTGCGACCTTAGATAGCTGCCTCTTCAATCGAAAACCCTCAGTCTACCACTGCCTACCGCTTGCAAATCACCTCCAGCGCCATGAGGTTCGCCATACCCCAATTCTCTTCCCGCATTTCTCTCATTTGTTCGTGCTAACACCGACGGTATCTAACAGGATCGAAACCTGCCATCTGTGCTCCCGTCCCGTCTACCCTTCCAAGGGAATAACCTTTGTCCGCAACGACGCCAAAGTCTTCCGCTTCTGCCGGTCGAAATGTCACAAGAACTTTAAGATGAAGCGTCAACCTCGCAAACTGAAGTGGACAAAGACGCACCGCGCCCTCCGTGGGAAAGAAATGATTGTCGATCAAAATCTGCTGCTCTCACAGTTTGCGAAGAGGCGCAATGTGCCCGTAAAGTATGACCGAAATCTGATCCAGGCGACCATGAAGGCCATGGAGAGAATCGAGGAGATCAGGGCACGGAGGGAAAGAGTATACGCCAGGAGGAGATTGAGCGGCAAGGCACAGAGAGATGCACGACGCCGACAGGATCTCAAGGTCGTGGCCCAGGGCGAGCATTTGATCAAGAAGGAGTTGGCTGACCTGGAGGCGGCGAGAGCGGAGATGGAGCCGATGGTCGAACAGGTCAAGAGGGAGATGGAGGCCAGCAGAGTGGTCGGAGAGGAGAGGCTCAGGCAAAAGAGGAAGAGGAAGATGCTCGTGGGTGGAGGCACGGACGAAGAGATGGATTTGGATTGAATGGAACTGCACTGTCCGCTCCCGTGATGAATATGAAGACTGGACGAACCTGATGCGATCATGATACCCGGCGTTCGACAGTGCAGTAAGTCGGCAATTTTACTTTGCAAGTTAGAGGGGACTGGCTTTTTCTTTTTCGCGGCGCACGGGGGCGTTGATCGGCGTGGCAAAAGTTCATTAGACGGATTCGACCTCCTAGACACCCAAGACTAAGGACACCCTGGGTCCTGGTTCCTGGAGAAAGAGGAAAGAAGGATGAAGATGGAAGACAGATGATAGCTGGACATTCCACGACCGAACACTGCCGTCCTCTCGACTTGTGTATCGTCGGGTTGTGATTAGAGGCCCATCAATATCCAAACTGTGTGCTTCCTGGTCTCATTACTATGGAGGACACAAGTCGATTAAAGCACCTTGGTCCTTCATGTATGTTCATTGGGCCAGATCAAATATCCCGGTTGCGCAGAGCACACACACTCAATGTTAGATGTCCACACAGATACCAAAGGATTTTGTTGACGATCATGTTCGTCTCGGCTACCTCAAGCCGAGACCACGTAGTGCTTGAAGTCCCTTGTCTGGACATTGCGCTCGAACATAATGTCGACTTCTTGGTAAGTTCTCCCTTTCCTGTGATGGACGCGCATCGAGTCAGGAACAGTGTATTCGCGGTCGGGAAAGGGGGATGCGGATATGAATACATATACACATGGACAGGGCGACAAGGGTGGGTTGGTTTACTCACAATTCAGGGACTCGGAAGTACGACCAAGTCAAACACAGCGCTGCAAGTCCGCCAAAGAAGAAGCCAAGCTTTCCTCGCATGTCCGCTTGGTCGGGGTTGATCATGTAGGGAATGGCCACGGTCATGACGATGCCCGCGGTTGCCTGAACGGCCGTGGCGATTGCGATGGTTTTTCCGCGGACCCGAGTGGCCGAGACTTCGCAGAGCAGGACGAAGCACACAGGTCCGATGGACAGGTCGTAGATGAAGTTCCAGATCAGCATCAGGACACTTTGCGCCCAAGAAATGGACGGCCTGTTATCGTAATTGGGCGCGCAGTCGAGGATTCCGATGATGATTTGCAGCACTGCCAGTAGAGCGAGGCCCGTGTTGTAGATTGTTCGCCGACCAAAGTAAATCAGCAATATCCAGGAGAGACAGGTGCCAACGAAGCCGATTGCGAGGAAGCCGACGCCCATGTTGAACGCTTGGTCGGAGGGCAGGCCAGCAACTAATCCTGGGTGTGAGCAATTGACAGAAAATGAAGGAGGATGGCTCATTTCACGTACGGGTGAAGAAGTAAGTGGCATATCCCACAAGATAGATGCCGGAAAGGACTTGGATGGTGTAGACACCAACGGCAATCTCTGTTCGGCGAATGTTGACCTTTTTGAAACAATCCCAGTACTACACCAGCTGTCAGTCTGTGAAACCAGATTTGCGGAGTTATAGTGATCGAGGGGCTCTGAGAACAGGTAATAACTCAAGAATGAAGAAACTCACAGTGGATCCCGCCTCAATTTCCCTCTCCAATCGATCGGTCTCGATGATCATGGCCAGTGTCGGTCGAACATCGACCTTTGGCGAGGCCAGTCGCTTGAGAGCCTTCTCAGCATCCTCGAATCGACCTTGTCGTTGCAGCCACCAAGGACTAGGTTTCACGTTAGCTAATGGTTACAGGCCAATAAACCCGAGAGATCTGACCTTTCAGGAGCAAACGGCAAACCAATCAGAATAACTAGTGGCCAAAGCCATTGGATGGCAAATGGCGCACTATAGGCCCAATGACTGTCGAGCACATGGGTTCCAGCGATGACACCATTTGCAATCAACTGGCCTGTCACGAAGCAGATGTTCGTGCAGGACGTAAGAACACCTCTGAGGGCTAGAGGGCAAACCTCCGAAGCGTACGCTGGGGCGATAACAGCATAGCTTCCCAAGACCAACCCTCCAAGGAGTTCACCGGCAAGAAGGACAGGAAGTGATCTCGCAAAGAACTGGATAAAGACGAAACCAGTGGTGAGAATGACACAAGCTCCAAAGGTCTTCTTGCGTCCAAAGAGCTCCATTGGTATAGCCGCGAAGAAGGCTCCCACGACTTGGCCGATAGGAGAACCCATGCTCAGGCCAGTTTGCCATGGAGCCGAGACGATATAGCTTCCTTCATAGAGATACCCAAAATCGCGCTGAAACGCTGGCGTCGCATAGAGCTGGCCCAAAAGTTGTGGATCAAAGGCACACCTACACATTCAGCCATTACCGTTGTGTGGACTGCTTGATACTGGCTGTCACTTACATTATAACGCCAATTGAGAAGAAAAGAGACCACCCGACAGCCGCTGGGTACAGCCTTGCAGCTTCCCAGAAAGAATGTCCATGCTCTTTGTCGGTGGCAGCACGTGCCTCGGCGTTGATGTCGTCAATAGACGCCGTGGCAATCAGGCCAACAGGCTCTTTTCTGATCTCAATATCCTTGTCCATATCTGCCGTTCCGGTAGTGAGTGACATTGTTCAGGTCCTTCGGAGTTGGAAGAGGTAGAGCGCACAGCAAGGGCCAGATGACGGGAGGTGGTCAACTGATAAACACCTCCAAACAGGTCTGCGTTATCAAGAACGATAAGAGCATGAGAACGATGTTCATCAGTCTTTGCCGCTCGACTTGACCCCTCCTGGCGGTAGCGAGATACAGCAGTCCGCCGGAGGTGGCCAGGGTCTGGACTGGAATGGTGTCCCATCGCGTGGTTTGAAATCATGGCCACGAGAGCAAAGCCTCACCTTTGCTATCAACTTGAATTGCCGACGGCACCTGATTCGACCGACACGCCAGAAGCGGCTGCTGCTCGTCTGGCTCGGTGATAGCGTCCATCTCATTGTCTGACTCGTTCCAAATCGAAGCGAGGATGGCCAGGTCGGTCTCAGGATCATCGAGGCAAACCCATGTGATTGCACTGTTACATGGAGAAGAATCGCAGGTTCAGGCCCTAAGAGCCAGTCCCAGCCCTTAATCGAGGCGGGGATCTGCGATGGATGGCATATCAGAATGTTATCGTTACATTGAAAAGGAGGAGAAGTTGGAGGTGGAGGTGCAAGGTGGTGCTAAGGTGATAGCTCAGGAATTTGGTACGGTCGAGCAGTAAGACTTCATACGCAGCACGGTCGGCCATATTTCAATATAGCGCAAATAACAGATTATGTAATGCGGAACTGTGCAAAATCACAAAACTCCTGCTTACGGGGCAGCCTGCATTGGACAAGCTGGCCTAAACCCATAAGAAAGCATCAATATGGAGCCTCCCCGGAAGAAGATTCGACGAGTGGTGAATAGCTGTCTCGAATGTCAGTTCCATGCCCTTGCCAATGTTCGCTTCTACCCGCTCCTCTAACAAGTCGCAGGCAGAAGGCGAAAGATTCGGTGTGACTTGAGTTCCAATGCATCAGACATATGCACCGCCTGTGCCGCGCGCGGCATTGCTTGCGAGAAATGGGAGCATTCAAGTGACGCTCCCGACTCTTACAATCTCGAGCTCAGCGCAAGACTGCGACGCGTGGAATCTCTCCTCGAAAAACTGACAGACGTTGAATCCTTGGATGCCGTCGAGGCTGCCCTGAATGTGGGCTCTGGGGATGGATCAATAACCGCACCGATTGAAGGGCACAATCATCCGCCCCTTATATCTCTGTTCGACAATGCAGTTGTGCGTTTGATAAGCCGCTCAAGCAGCCTCTTCTCAAATTGGCTAACTATTACGGGGTATAGTTTGGTCACCAAGAGCAGTCTACCCCGTCAAGTGGACCCGAATATCGCAGTCCATCTCAAGTTTCTGGTATTCCGCACAATGCTAAGCTGGAGAAGCTGCGTCTTGTACTTAGCGCGCTCCTTCCCACCCAGGACGATGCAGATCTGATCGCTGCTTCAACGGTGAGTGCTAGAAACATCGCGCTGAATCAAAATGCTGATGGAATATCTGAAAAGAACGCCTGGGGCCTTGGACAGTTGCTCTATGCTGCCACGGAAAGATCGACGAAGGCAGATTTGGAGATAGCTACTTTGTCGAAAGGCTCACCACTAACTATAGCGCGCACATTGATGCATTTTGCAATCCTCATCCAACAATTGCCTCCAGAATTTGACACTTCGAGACTCCAGTTCAACTCACCCATCGAAACTGTGCTACAGAAGTATCTGTATTATGTGGCGGATCTCGTTACGTCGAAAGACGATTTTGCTTGTACGATGGAGGGCTTGGAGTGCCTGCTCCTGCAGAGCCTATTCTACATCAATGATGGCAACCTGCGCAGAGCCTGGCTGGCTGCTCGTCGAGCTTTGTATACCGCCCAGTTTCTGGGACTGCAAAAGAGCTACCTCAGCTGTATCCGGAATTCAGATGGCGATGGTGCCAGCCACAGAGCTAATGCCATGATGTGGACCCGAACCGTCATGCTTGATCGCTTCCTGGCTCCTATCCTTGGGCTTCCATGTGGCGCCGGAAGCGATTGCTTTGGCGAAGATGGTACGATGGTGCCCATCATCGATTTCATTGATGTTTTCGAACGCAGGCTTTGCGTGATTGCCGGATTGATTGCCGCGCGTAACCAAAAAGATCCAGCACCTGGGTACACTACCACGCTAGACATTGACGAAAAGCTTGAGAAGCTTGCAAAGGACATGGGCGATATGCTGACGAAAATTCCAACTTTACACACCCCACATCCTTCTCCGGCTGATGAGGATTCTTTCAAGTTGGTCATGAGTCAGATATGGTTTTATCAGATCACCATCATCTTGCACATACCTTGGATGCTGCGAGCGTTCACCGACAGCAAGTTTGAGTATAGCAGATTTGCTTGTTTAAATGCGTCGCGGGAGCATCTTCGCAGATACCTTGCTCTCCGAGATACAAACAACACTCAAAATACGGCTCGCATTGTTGATTTTGGCACAGTCATTGCGGCGGTGACACTGATACTGAACCGGGTTGAATCCGCAACACGAGATACTGCCACATCTGACGGAGATAGTGACATGAAACTTGTTTCTAAAGTCGTTGAATCAATGCGAACAGTCTCTCGTGGACCACGGGAGTTCATGGCGCGCCAGGGGGTTGAGGTTATGGAGGCGCTCCTAGAATTAAAGAACGGCAACAGGGATCGTGACACAAGCGACACACTGCGATTCACCATCCCATTCTTTGGGCCGATCGTTATTTCCAGAAGCAACACCCCGGCTGGCGCGACGCCAGCTGCCATTGCTCAAAACACGCTCAACGCAGACGATCCAATCGAAAGTCTGCTTCTGTTAAATGGCGCTCAAAGCGGCCCAAACTTCAGCGGCATACTGAACGGACCTGTCCATGGTCATCACTTGTCATTTGAGCAAGCGAAAGTGCCTGACTCTGGTTGGGTCCCTCCTTTGGAAGCGTGGGACTTCGACACGATTCCTGACTGGGGCGACTCGTTCAGCTTGTGGGATGTCCCGGGCTGGAACACCAACAGTCAAAATCCTGTCTAATGGTAGCAAAGGGGCGCAAGTAATGCTAGGAATGGCAAGAAAACTTCTCCCTCGAAACCAGACAAAATACGCCTCAGAGATGAAGACCCTGCCAATTTCCTTTGACTGACAAAGAGGACAGACAGGAGATGAGAAGGTCTCTTGTCTTCTCATGATCGACGATGTGCCACCAGATCTGCTCGGCCGAGAGCTCCGAGCAACAACTCTGCGACAGTACCCCGCAGAATAACTCCTTCCCTGATGAGGGGAGTTTTTGACGGCCTAGAAGCCTAGTGCAGGTTTGGATCGCTACTGTGGTTCTGGCTTCCATGATCATGATCCAATAGAACATAAGGGCAGCAACAAAATTATCTGTTCTGTCACTGCCGGCTGTTCGATTGACATCAATAAACACTATTGCGATTCGTCTAACAGTGCTACGTGCACAGGCCGATTCCGCGGTCTGTCCTCCCCCCAGCGATCACAGAGACTAGCGATAGTGCAGTTTTTAACAGAATGGCGCAGTCTTAAAAGCCTTTTAATACGGGAGTTCATCACGGCATTCGTTGTCTTACTACTGTGCGAGTCCACGCAGCCTCCGATCACGAAGCGTACAACAGTGATCAGGTCGGTCTCGAAATGATCACTTGGCTTTCCAGAGCACAGCTTTTCCTTCTCCAACAAAGCTGTATGAACTATCCTCTCCTTAGAATCTTCCTTCAAACGGATTTCGATCATTGCCGCCGCCAGCTCATCTGCACCGATCACGAACTTGTTAGGGCATCTCGCCGTGATAATGCCATATTTCTGCTTCTGCAGCACACCACTAGGCCTGACTATATATGTCTCACCATCTTGCCCGTTTTGTTTCTGCTCGTCAGAAAAGATCAGGAGCCCTGTCTCTGCGAGTCCCTGAAAAGGCCGTTAAAGGATGAAGTTTCCTACGACGGACATGGCGGCAAGCATTACCATCGCCTTGCGACGTCCGCCATAAAACCACAGAGAAGCATTCCGATCATTTACCGCAAGAATGCCGCTCAAAAAGACCACTCGGAACAACCTGGTAGTAGCTTCATTGCGGAATTTGGAAATTGCTTCACAAAATGCGAGTGGATAGCAGACTTCGACCTCTTCATTGCCGCTCTATGCGCCTAGCGCCCTTCCGAGATGGGTCAGTCATTTAGGCTCTGATTTGCGCTCAGAAAGTAAGTTGTCTTACGCGCAGTCGGGTCAGGTAGCGCACGCTGCGAGCGGACCACAGTCGATGTGATTTGTGCATGAGCAGCACATTGCTCCAGGATCTCTCCGCCGATAAACCCTGTTGATCCCGTCAAGATTGTCTTCATTTTTCAATTGCCTTGTTGAGTGGCCAAGGCAGACTCATAATTCACTAATTTCGATGTTGTTGCCGCTTGTAGGCGAGCGAAACTCTCGGCCGAGGGGGCTGAATCGCGTCAAGAATTGGTCACATCGCCAGTCGAGGGCTTCATGCCCGCTCTTGCGATTGACTAGTGCCTAGAGACACCTCAGATCTTTGATAGGTCGCGCGGGGGGGCATCGCGTGTTGGTAGTTTTGATAAGAAAGGCTCTAACATAGGGGTGACGAGGCTGAGATATTCAGCCTTATGAGCGGATATCGATTAGTCATCCGTCTTACACGAGTTCAGGCCTTCCAGCCTTTCTGGGCTTTTAAATTCGACTTTAATCAACACCAATTTTCGCGATTTAAGATGTCAGCGTCCATTTGTCAAAGAATCTCGTGACACTCACTGCCATGGCTGAGGAAGCGGTGATTTTTCCGTCTCAGCCTCTTTTTATGGTGGACAGAGGATGGCAACGGCGCAAAAAGAAGGTGAAGAATGACGCACTCTTTCGGGAACTCGATCTTCAACCCTCGCGGGTTCCTGAAGTTACCATCAAGGTCGCCAAAGGGCCGATCGAAGCCAGATCAGCGTCGCCGCCTAAAGTCAAGGACAATGAGACACACGCAAAGGGCAATCCAAAAGTTCCCGGGCAAATACAGTTTATGGCATACAAGCCCTCGGCGACGAAACGAAAGCAGAATGTCAAATCGAAGACGTGCGACCATGACAAAGGGGCAGGGAAAGAAGGAGCAAACACAGAGGTCAAATTTCCAGTCTGTTCTTCGAACTCAGAGGAGGTGTGCAAGGATGCAATCTTTCCCAAACGGACACCTCCTGGAACCGCCACCGCCCTTTACACGGTTATCGACCCTGAAGTGAGCTCTTTCCAAAAGTTCGTGAGCTATTGTATGTCTCTCCTCAACCAAACATCTCTATATTAGCGCTGACGCCGATGAAGATCCTACGCGCCTTGCTACGGCGATGTACCCGATCAGCAGAAGGGTGCCACTCACCTATAATCCCATTGAAACTATATGGCTGCCTGCAATTGTGACAGACGAGGTCTCTCTTCACACCATTCTGTTCTCTTGCGCTATGCATTTCTTCATGGGGTCCGGGCATCAAACATTCAAGGATTCGCACCTGCTCATGAAAGTAATTCTCAACCGACTCAATCGCAGATTGCATGATGGGAAATATTCGGATCTTACCATTGGTGCTGTTTCATGCCTGGCTCTATGTGAGAACCACCTTGGCAATCATCAAAAGTGGGAAATGCACGCTGCTGGTATGTCTGAAATGATACGTGCAAGAGGAGGGTTCAAAGCCGTAAGGGATGTGTTGCACATGAAGATCTATCGAGCCGATACGATTGGTGCTGTCGATACTCTTTCACATCCTCACTTCCCTCGTCCGGCCAGAACGACCAAGTCTCTCTATCGTGCCATGCTCCTTCACTCGGCCATGGCGCCTATAAACCCTCCGATCCTCGATGTCAGTTTAACGCCAGTCGTGACGAATGCGCTTAGCGAACTCTCCTACCTGTGCCACGCCCTCAACCATGCGGCTGATACCCTAACACCCGTCGACCCTCTTGCCTTCGACGAGGATGTGACTTGCATTCAGCACGACTTGCTACGGTCACAGAACTCAAAGCAGGCGGATGTCGAAAGAGTCTGCGTAATAGCAACACTGATCTTCATACAAACACTCACCCGAGAAGTCCCATTCACCAGGCTTTGCTCCGGCCACATCTCTCGGGAACTGAAAGCAGCCGTACTAGCTGTTGACCCCGATATGTTACCCGATAGTTTGACTCTCTGGGTTCTTTTCATGGGAGGACTAGTATCGACCGACACGGACGAGTATTTCTGGTTTCGGTCACGGTTGATGCATTTCCGAAGTCTCCACCATGATCTCCTCACTTGGGAAAATGTTAAAGGTCATCTTCAGAAAGTATTCTGGATGGACAGACTTCAAGAGGACTACGGACTGAGACTTTGGCAAGTCCTCGATGTACCTCTATGTCCATCAAGCGGCCCGATTGCAGCTTGGACAGATAATGGGTCAAACTCATCTCCGTCAAGAAACAAGTTGATGTGCATTGCGTAAAGCCGCGCTTATTGCCAGATAAACTCATGACCATCACGAGAATTGATGATGAGCTGAGCGATGGGAATTTTGGTGACATACCTCCCAGCTTTGGCTTGTCGGGATCACCATGTCATTATCACCATTGGCGACTAGAAGGAGCACTTTTAGCTCACCCAATCGGTCGAAAGCTGCTCGAGCACTTTTCTTGAACGAATCCATCGCAGCCTCGAGTTGCCTCTGCGCTGCACCATACCGATACAGTAGGTCCAGAATGAGAGGCTCTGCCTTTCTCTCTTGCACCCTTGCCCAGTATTGATTGAAGGCGGCACGTCCTTGATCATCGTCGTAAAACATTGGAAACGCCAATACTCTGGGACTCTGTTTGCTTGTTTCTGCTGCGACCAACTCCCGCATTGTCGAATTTGATAACGATTCTGGCTTTGGCGTGCGTGTTGACCAACAGGGGACCCCAAAGGTCCATGTTCGCGCGAAAGTGGATATGGATGACCCAGGGGACGCCATCTTTCTCACCAATGCGTCAATATGCGAACCGGACGCCATCCTTGGCGTCCAGGTATCGAGTGACAGCTGTTTGAGCTGTTGACATCTTGCCAAATGATCAGTCTCGACTTTGGCAGACCCAAATGTATCGAATTTTAAATGCTGCAGGACAAGATACAAGTGGTCATGCCAGGAGACCCCAGGTCGGTGGAGAAGGTTTGGTCATATTTATACATCCCTTGTCTTACAGGTCTGTGTCCGCCATTCTCGCTTGGTGGCTTTCTTGATCACCTGCGGGGAGACATAAGAGGTTATTAGATTTCTGCGCAATTGGGCCGACGAGAAGGGCAATATCAACATAATCCAGGAGGACCGATGCTGCTCCTGTACCGCGAGCACCAAACCAGGAATATCAACACCATTCAGGGAAAACCGATTCTGTCGTCCGCAAAGTTCCATCCTTGTTGGGACGACAGGATCGGGAGAAGAGCCACGGCAGTAGGGCGCATGGTAGGGATCTAAAAGAGGTAATCTGGGACCCCTTTCGGACATCATTTGTGGCGCCACAGTCTTGCACCATGTCACCAAAAGCCCCTCCCGTCCTTTGTATATATTGAACTGGGGCGAGGCTACTAGCCATGGGCATCAACTCGTACGGCGGTGGGTATAGTCTCTTCTCAACGCGCACACTCAACTAGGGGAAGTCCTCTCTGTTGGTAACTTGGTTGCTTGTGTATTGTATGAAAGATAGTCCCCCAGAACTATATAAGAAGAACCATAGTCTAGGGTCGGCGCCCCAGCCAATCATAACGCTATCCACCACTTCCAACTTCTCCCATTACAATATCGCATGCGGTTTTCTGACTCGCCGTATAGAGCCAGTCGGTCATTTCCGCCTCCGCCTCTATCTTTCTCTGTTCCTTTTTCCCCTTTGGCAATGGCCGTGAGGCGCATACCCCTCATCACCGACAATGCAACGTGGTGGGAGATCGATGATAAGCACACCCTACAGGCGTTTCGATTTGCAGCCTGCATCGTGTGGCCTCGGCTAGAACCTCCTGGTCCCATGCGACGGAAGGTGTAACTGGCATCTCTTCTCGTGATTGGCAATGCTTGTGGACATGGGTTGACGTGCCGCGAAGGTATTATTTATCTTTTGTTCTCGGCAGACACGGGCAAGACACTCTCAGGACAGAAACCCCATTTTGTAGGTGAGGATTGTGTGGGACACAAATCAAAATGGGGTCGTATGCTCCCGTCCACGACCAAGAGGTCCATACCATTCATATCCCTGAAGAAGTTCGCAGGTCAGGCAAACCAACCCTCGAACTCATTGCCGAAGGCGCCGCCTTCTTGCACAAAGATGGCATCATCGTCCTGGACAATGCCATCGACACCCACCACCTCGACACCTTGAACGCCAAGTTGTCGCCAGAGGCACTCGAGATTGCCTCTGACCCTGATCACCACTTCAACTTCGGCAAGCACACGCGCAATATGGACCAAGCGCCTCCTCCCACGAAAGCTCTCATGTTCAAAGACATATGGTGCAACCCCTTTGCAGCAGCCATCCTGGCGGCCGTCCTGGGCCCAAGACCGGTCATCCACTACGCGAACGGCAACACGGCGCTGAGGGCCCCTCCTCACGGCCGCCAGCCCGTGCATTCGGACTGCGAGTTCGCCCATCCGGCTTACTTCCCGTTCGCCTACGTCATCAACATCAACCTCGTCGACGTGACCCCCGAGAACGGCGGCACCGAGGTCTGGGTCAGCAGCCACCATGTCTCCGTGTACGAAGCGCACAACCGGTCGGAGGACGAGGAGTGCGAGGAGCTCCTCACCATCAAGCCCGAACTATTGGAGCAGCGGCGCAAGCACTCCCCGCCCGTGCAGGTCAGCACCAAGAAGGGCAGCCTGATCATCCGCGACCTGCGGCTCTGGCACGCCGGCATGCCGAACCTGACTGACGAGCCGAGGATCATGCTGGCCTTCGTGGCGAGTCCGGCCTGGTGGCAGGGCCGGAGCAAGATCAAGCTCCCCCTCGAGGTCAAGGAGTTGGTCGAGAGCTGGAGCGACGAGATGGGATATGACGCCGACTGGGTCGACGGCGAGGTTGATCACAAGAAGCTCAGGAGCGCCGGCGTCGATTTCGACGGGAACAGTCGCTCCCTGGAGCGGTTTAGGAAGGAACTTAGTGTCTGGCCTGAGTATCGGCCTAGGTGGTATTAATCGCGCTTTTCTTTTCCGTGAGACAGGGGGAAATTCGGGCGAGGACGAGGAGAAGGCATGTTATGCAAAGGAGCAGAGACACTGAGACAATGAGACATAGGGCAGAGACCTTGAAGGACAGGATCGCGAGGGGTCAATCATGCTGTCTGATGTACAAAGAGCTTCCCATTCATATTCACCTTTATCTTGTGCCATTCAGAAGGGTCTGAGTGAAATGTTCAACGCGGTGCAATGACAACCCCTTTTTTCGTCGAGATTTCTTCATTGATTCGGTGTGTGTTTCCATCTGGCACCGTATTACACTGTCATACATACCATGGCATATCATATCGGTTTTTATGAATCCCTCCCGATCACCAAGGCCATGTGTAGATGATACCATCCTGCCAGATAAGGAAGGTAGCCGTGGACAATTGTTTCCATCCGCGGGTCAATTTTCCCCTTTCCGCATTTCCGGTCAATATCCTCCGCGTCGTCCCCAGGCCAAATTCCCAAGTCCAATTCAAACATTTGGCCGCCCTACTTGTTGACTTCTTTGCGGTCGAGATGGTCTCCATTCCCGTTCCAGTTCCAGCCCCTAGTTCCAGCTTGCATTTTTGGTTCCTAGTCCCTGTTCCAGTTCTCGTTCCCGTTCCGCCTATTGCAGTCTGTCATTTCCGTTCCGTTTCATTCCATTCCATCCAAGTATAGCGTTTCCGCATCGAATCCATTTATATTGGGAAGTGGGTTCGAGTGTCCCATTCGCGCGACATCATGTGGATTGGATGACGGTATGGAGACACATCTCCCCGTCGGTGTCAACCGTTGTCGTTGGTTTAAAATTCGCGTGTCCATCGTATTGCGGAATATTCCTCCATTTCCACTTCTGTCCGTTCATGTCCGCAGGTTTTTACTCATTTCCTCTCCGTCGGATGAGAGATGTGTTTTGATGCACTTCTGTCTCTGGACCTGGCACTTCGAATCCCTGGTTGCACCATGCCGAGATGCTTTCGTGCCGTTTTCATAAAAGTGCAGCCTTTCGTCTCTTCTCTGATCGTCGGCACATCCATATGGTGGTATTCCCTGCCGCCAGATGTTTCAGAGACATGACTTCCGCTGTTGGTATAGCTGTATTGTGATGGCGCCGTGCAGTGGATCGCTGAGGAGGATTTCTTTCCTGTCCAGTGAGGTGGCTTTTCGGTTCCCAGTTACTTCGTCCTTCCTTCCATTGTTGAGTGTCGGGTCCAGGGTTTCTCTTTTTGCCTCTGATAAGGTTATTGAGATATGCTGGCTGACATGAGTTTTCATAGTTTGTGAATTGTGAAATGCAGCTTCCTGATTGGGTTTAGGAAAGTCTCTTTGCTGTACGCAATCATGTCTTTGATGATGATGAGTTCCAACTTGAAGATGCTGCGGGGGCCAGGCGGTGCAATCACAAGGGCAAGGACTTCAGTTTCGCGCTTGTTCAAGACATCTTTGAAGTCAGCGTAGTTTGTTTTTGGTGAACCAGTCGTAAAGCTCCTGTCCGGGCAGTTCAGCTGCCAGCCAATATGCTTCAGCGTCGTCCACTTCTGCTTTGCCTCCGTCCTGTAAGTCAGCTAGAAGCCAAGAACTGTCAGAGCTCGTGTGCCGCAGCCTACCAACTGATGACAACCTGATGTACCCGGCTCTGCTTACGTCCTTTTCTCGTCCTCAAACGAAGGTGTTTCCCTTCACCCTATAACTGCATCTGCACTGGCATACTGGTTGACGAGGTCGATCAGCCTTGTCACCCTCCCAGATTGTGATGCAATTTCTCCTCTCCACTGTGATAAGCGTGACGGTTGGGGCTGACCGGTCGGACGGGCTCCATTGAGTTTCTTCTTGCGCTGGCAAGGACATCGGTCTTTGTGTCTTGAGGCTGTTGGTCTGCCAATCCGCCGCTTGTCGTGTGGTGGTGGATGGAGTATCGATCCAAATCAGCGGAAAAAGTGTTTGTGTGGTTCGTACTCGAGTAAGTCACCTAGCCTGAGGGAAAGCGGTGTTCTCCTCTCTACCAAGGGCTTCAAAGGTAGAAGTGACCAAATCCCCATTCCGGCTGTCGGCCCTTTGGTCTTCCCTCCGCTCGAAATTTCTTCTCGTATAGTCGCTTCTTCTCTAACAGAACTGAAGTCGGTCCACGGAAGAGAGAGAATCTACCGCTTTGGACATTTGCACACGCCCAGTTTGCTTGGCTGACTGCTTCTTGGCTCACTAAGCTGTCCCAGTAGTAGTCTCGCTTGTCGATGGGGTGAAGGCGTGCGAGCTTCCTCAGCCTTTCGAGTTGCAAGATAATGGCCCGTGATTGTTGTCTGCTGTTTGCGAGCTCGTCGTCCCCATTCTTGAGCTCTGGCCAGCTATACTGCGGCAGAAAGGCAGTCGAGTCGGTGTCACTGGAGCCCATCACCGTCACAGCTTCGTCTGGGATACTCTCAAACAGGGCATTCGCCTCGGTGAAAGTGAGTCTGCTATGTCTTGGAAGAAACGATAGCCTGAAGTGCCTCAGGACGTGCTCGATGTCCTCCTTTGGTAGTGGATTCCACGGATTATGGATCCATCTCCACTGCAGCTCAGCATACACGCAGTGTCTCAGATGTCTCGTGAACTCTGTGTCCACCCGTCCCAGTTGATGTCGGTAGAGCCGGTGAAACTGCCACGGCAACGACGAGTGGTAGTTCCAGTAGTAGGCACACCCGGCACAGTGGACCGCCTCGAATCTTGAGACAGTCGTCTGGAGGGTGCCGCCTAGAAAGCGCCTAGAATGGCGCCTTAAGGCGGGAACTCGGACTGCACAGGCGTGTTGTGCGTAAGTTGTTTCGGGCGGAGAGACTTCCTCGGCCAGTAGACACAAAGGTTTTTGGCAACGGCGGGTTTGTATTGATGAATACAGCTGTGGTTGGACACTGCGTCGGTCTGCAGGTAGTTCGAATCCAGTCCGGACCAGCGGAATTTTGTCAACTGCTGATTTTGTCTGACCTCGAGTAGGAATTTCCCTTGGCCCTTGCCGTCGGAGAAAGTTCAAGGCGGCCTTGTAGTCGAAAACATGACCTTTCTGGGCTGGGAAGCCCCAGAAGGAGTTCTGAGGGACGGTCACCAGCTGCGGAAGCGTTCTCAGCTCGGCCTGGGAAAGCTTCATGGTGTACTGAGCGTAGCCGAGATTGACTGCTAGAAGTTCACGCTCTTGAGAAAGGCACCGGAAGCAGCAGCGCTTGAGCTGCAACAGGTGCAATATCTCTCCATGCTCTCTACAGAACTCGCATTCAGCAGTGAGGAGGACGTCAACTAGCTGGGGTACTGTCCATAAGGAACCGGCCTCAGTAGCCAGGAGTGCACGGACTGCATCGGGACCATAGGTCATGACGGTCCTGAATGGCTCCCATTGCTCAATGAGTTGTTTGGCATGGGAGTTGGTGGCTCGGAGGTCGATGAGACTGTTGATGGGTGTTGTGGCAAAGATATATAATTGTAATTCGAGAGGAAGTTTGTCGAGATCTCCCAGACCAACATGCCGTTGGCTTCTTGTGGTCATCCATCTTTGAGGATCACTGAGCCAGATTCGTCGTCTGAGCTCTCCCGAGTCGATAATGAGTTTGTTGTAATCGGGGTACTTTGTAAGGAAACGGAGCTCTGCGCGGGTCATCAGGGCAGGGTCGAGAGGCTTGGGGGCAAGGGAGGCCATTTTGTTGAGGCCTTGCTTTGGAGAAACTCGGGTTGGGGGTTGGTCTGTCCCAGCAAGAGTATCGATGAAAGCCGTATATGATGGAATGGAGCTTGTTATGTGTGTGCGTAAGTCCCTGTGAGGTATCGATATGAATCTGTGCCGGAGCGCGGAGCTTGTGATGTCGAGATCCAGATGAACGGGGAAGTCAAGCTAGCTTATGATTTATATACTTAAAGGCGAGGAAAGACTGGTTGTTAAAGTTTCAGAGAACCATGGTTCGCATGTGGAGAATATATACCAGAGCCCAATGAAGCATCAATAAGCAAACTTTTGACAATCAGAAACAATAGGAGGGTATAGACAGGCACAGATGCTGAATAGACATCGGTTGCCGCGCCTTCAGAGAACACCTCAACACATGCGTAAAATAGGAGAACAATAGGAGATCTTCACCGACATGATAATAGTGGCGTGTTACCGGTGACAGCTGCTATCAAGAAGTACCGCTTATTTTGAAGAGGCTGAGTGAAACCTTCAATCACCACGGATCTGGCTGAAAATTGGCTCAAGTTTCCACCCAGAAAATGTCTTGGAAAGGAAAACTGAGTCTCTTTGGGATCAGGCTGTGAGTCGAAGGGTGCTCCCGGCCAACCAAATCTCCTCAGGTAAGTTCGCTGTACTCGGTACAAGCTGAGCCAGATATTGCCTTGGTTAGCGTTTCAGAAAGGGGCGCGAACCAAGCGATCCCGACAACAGCCACCGCTGGAATGTAACATCGACTTTCGGCCCGAGAGGCTTCGCTACTCCAGAGACTGGCATCGCTTCGACTCGATGTATGAAACAATCAAAACCGATGTTGACGAAAGGATGAGGTCGTTCAGGACGTCGGCGTCCGAAAGTGAAAATAAAAGCGTGGCCTGCTCGTGTGATAACATGTGACCTCACGTGACCCCGCGCGCTGCCCACCCCACAATGACGTTTTGGGCAACTGCCAACAATTCAATTTCCCGGATCCCGTTCGAATGTTTCTTTTTCATTCTATACGTGTATTTCCAGGATTCGGTCGACAATTCCTCGCGTTCCGGTTTCGATTTCTTGTCTGGTCAATTCTGTCACCATTCCCGCTCTTAGGGAGTTTCTTTTCAACGCGTGTTAGTTTTGTTAGAAGAATTCGAAATGGTGTACATCAGGCAGCGAAACCTGAAGAAGCTCCATGAGTACAAATATTCCGGGGTGGATAAGTCTCTTGTGTCAAGATATGTTCTGAAGCCATTCTACACCAATGTTGTCATCAAATTCTTTCCCATGTCAATGGCGTGAGTACAGCGACTCTCCTCGGTGAAACAACGTGATACTGAAACTGCTTCAGGCCCAATCTTGTGCGAAGAAACTCAGTCTCGCCTGTAATACCCCCTTCTAACGCATGAGCAGATTACCTTGACAGGTTTCAGTTTTGTGATCATCAATGTTCTTACAATGCTGTGGTACAATCCCACGCTCGACACCGATTGCCCTCCATGGGTCTACCTGACCTGGGCCATTGGTCTGTTCCTTTACCAGACTTTCGACGCCGTGGATGGCACCCAGGCTCGCCGGACACGCCAGAGCGGCCCATTGGGCGAGTTGTTTGACCATGGTTAGCTGGTATCTTACGACATAGTGAGCACCACTAACCGAATGTCAGGTGTTGATGCGTGCAATACTAGTCTTGAAGTTCTCCTTTTCGCGGCCTCCATGAATCTTGGCCAGTCTTGGAACACTGTCCTCACTCTCTTCGGCACGATCCTTACCTTTTATATCCAGACCTGGGAAGAATATCATACCCATACTTTGATGTTGGGTGTAGTTTCTGGCCCCGTGGAAGGAATCTTGACTCTGGTTGTGGTCTACTTTATCACCTTCCTCAAAGGTGGTGCGAGTTATTGGCAACAACCAATGCTGCCCAGTCTCGGTTTTCCCAAAAGCGATCTTGTTCCGGCCTCTCTGTATCAAATGGCTTGGAACGAGTGGTACATGGTTTATGGTGGGCTGGTGTTGGTCTTCAACACCATCAGCAGCGCATTGAATGTCATGAATGCCCGACGACAAAGAGGCCAGGATCCTTACAAAGCACTAGTCGGACTGGCTCCTTTTGCTATCACTTGGACCTTGATACCGACCTATCTCTGGCTGAACCCGGTCATTCTCCACCGCCATCTTGTTCCGTTCATCATCTTTGCTGGAATTGTGAATGCCTATTCCGTTGGGCAAATGATCGTGGCTCATCTGGTCAAGGACAAATTTCCCTACCAAAACGTACTCGTGGTCCCTTTGGCTTGTGCCATAGTCGATAGTTTGGGCCCCACACTGGGACTATGGCCAAGTGCCCTTGGTGACGATGTCTACCAGGTGGCGTTTGTTTTCCTGTCACTGGGCCTCGCGCTCGGCGTGTACGGAAGCTTTGTTCACGATGTCATTACCACGATCTGTGACTATTTGGATATCTGGTGTCTCACGATCAAGCACCCTTACGTGGAAGACGCCCAGAATGCTGAGGGCAAGAAGTCCAAATGAGTCAGCCTGGCGACTTTGGTGAATAGCACAGCCTCGAGTCAAGCACTGCGCACGACTCAGGCTAATGGATCTTCACAACACCAAGTTTGACACATTCGCTTCGATCTGACGGCCTTCTCGATTCATTGCTGATTGTGCAAGTCACTTGCAACAAACGGAACTGGCTATAAATGTTGTTCGTACATCCTGGTTGCTCAAGAAGCCTTTGTCCTCGACCACCCACGAAGTTCTTACCAGTCCACTCTTCACACCAACCCTTTTCCATCATGTCCTCAGAGAAGCAAGAGTCCTCTACAAAGGGTGAGTGCAAGACTGACATCCTAAGCAAAGGAACTGCAAGGACGTTCCTACATCGATTCTGCGCCTGGAAACCAAAATGCGCCAGGCAATCCAAGCAAAGCTACTGACGGGACCATCTCCATCAGAATCGGAAACCAGCTCTTCTCCGAACGTAGTACTCTTTGGCCCGCTCCACCAACATGGTCAGTGCTAATATTTCTCCCTCATGTCCTTTTGGAATTGTCAAACCAACTCTTTACAAGGACAAGTCTCCTATCTGCACCCGGGCCAGTACACTTCGAACACCGGTATCACGAGAGCCTTCAAGGGGCACATCACGACCACGGTCCACGGAGTTGAAACAATCATGCCCACCCATGAGTATCTAGCCCACCCTCAGGATACGCGCGTGGCAATTCTCAACCCTCACCTTCGCCTGGATTCCGGGTACTACCCCAATCCTATCAAACCACCGCCTGATGCTCCTCCCCCGCCGCCTCCGATCGACATCACGACTGGGAAACCAAAGTCGGAGTCTGCCAAGGCAGGCCCTGACGCCGAGAAGAAGTGTCCTCAATGCCACCATGCAAGTACTCCGGCTCTGACAGACGGTGTTTGGATCTGTTCGGGCTGTCTCCAGGGTCATAAGTTTGTACTGGCTAACAATTACGAAAAGTGTTATTAGTCCAGGCCGGCTAAGTGAAAGGTTGGAGACCTCGTTCGGTTTATCTCGATGGCAGGTGCGACGCGATGATGGAGACGCCTCAATCTCCTGCTCATGCTTAATACACGTTCCTGCTCATCTGAACGATGCAACATGGCCGCACAATATTCTACGCTTTTAAGCTCACGACTGGCTGTCTTGCTCATAATTTGAGTGGTTTCTTTTTGGATTGTTTTAGAGGCAGAGTATAGCGGTACTGAAAGCTGGGATTTCCACAACACGTACAATTCTTGAATGTCTCCTTGGCATGAACTGAACGAGGCTCGTGGGGAAGGACAGGTCAGGAATGCTCGATCCACGGGGGACATGTACATCATTAGAAGCTAGAGACTCACAAATGAAATAGTGGTTTGAATCTCCTGGCTTGCAGGGGGAATGGGTTTCTTGGACAGAGTTTGTTTCATCACTTTCTTTTTTCTTTGGTGCTCATGAAAATCCGTAGCTGAAGCTCTTTCAAAAGCCACGAAAAGCTCATAACTCCCCGGGGTGACATTCAAGCACCACATGTCTCTTCTCTGCCACCGCCCCAACGGGACTGAATTGCACGATGCCCGCAGCTGAATTCCTACATCTAGCGTGAACATTGTGGGTGATTCCTGAACTGTCGATTAAAGAAATTTGTCCATCATGTCACCGCCCCTCCAGGGTACGCATCGCCTCCATTTCTCCTTCCTCGTCCGAACGATTTTTCCCTCTGCTGCGTCTAATGCTCAACATGACTTCGCCACCATGCGTCGACCATCGATAGAAGATGGTAGGTAAAGGACCGTAGGCGTTGAAATGGGCAACGACGCGCGGCAGGATTTTCGATAAGAGAGTGGTATGGTGGATATTTAGTAGCCCAGCTCGGCCAACTTTTTCTTCGCCTCCACATCCGCAGTCGACTTGTTCGCCTCGGCAAGGTGTCTTCGTTGGGCCTTCTTTCGCTCGTAGTACGCGGCGCCCTTGACTTTTCTTCTCTCCTCGAGTCTGTCGCAACTCTGTTAGCCGAAACCCTTGTCTCCCCCAGAAACGTCCAACCGCCTCCAAATGTTTATCGTGTAGGCAGAGGAGATATCGAACGTACCTCGCAACCACATCCTGGTATTTCCATCCCACCTCATGTGCCAGTCTTCCCACTGTGCAGTATTTCCTTCCTGGCTTTAATCTGAGGACCCTCAGTGCCTGAGGAACAACCATGCGCTGCTTTTTGTCGTATGGCGGAGGGATACCCTCAAAGACCTTCAATCTCTCTAGGGCAGCAGCACCGCGGGCGGTCTTGTGCGGGATCATGCCTCGGACGGTCTTGTAGAAGATGCGGGCGGGGGCGCGGAAGTGGAAGGGGCCACCGCGGGTTGGGTTGTAGCGAGTGATTTTGCGGAGGTAGGCATGGTACTTGACTGTCCAAGACAGAAGAGATTCGTGTTAGTCCAAATGCATCTTTAAATATCGGTGCTGGGCGTAGCCGAGCAGAGCGGATGGGAGAGAAAAGCGTACGCTTAGCACGGAAGAATTCGCCAGAGATGTTGAGGGCCTCGCATCTCACGACGACGATTTTCTGGCCATTCAAGAGTTGCTTTGCGACTGTACTGGCGAGACGACCGAGCAAGTGTCCCTTGCCGTCGATGACAACCTGAAGCAAAAAAAGGCTTTGTCAGTACTGTTGATTCAATCATCTCTTGATGTTCTTTGCGCAATGTCGTCGGCGAAGAACTTACGACGGGCTCGAAGGTCGACATCTCGCACTCAATCACCTGCAAGAAGTCGTACAGGAGAGGATTCGCAAGTTGGGCGAGGACGTGGTTGTTGGTTGAGTTCGTCAAAGGCCGGAGATTGATTCAATGAATTGTGTTGATGCGCTTTCGTTTCCGTCGTGCGCACGCCAAGACATAATTTCTTGGCGCCGAAATCCAAAAGCACGTGAAATTGCTTAGTCAGTCAGTGGGTCCGGATTTAGCACCAACCAGCACCACCCCCGTTCTTGAAAAGTTCTTCTCTTCTGTCCGCCTTGTCAAAGGATACAACGACAATGCTTCGATCCGACATTGGCCGACGGACATGCTCACAGAAAACTTCATTGCAGCGACACTGACTGCAAATAAACCCGCTGCACATGCCAGCGCTGCCTTGAAAGATGTAGGCATTTTTCTTCACGAGTTTCAACCTCAAAGCACCTTTCGCCACGGTTTCAAGAAAAGTTCCAGTCAACCGGGCTGTGTGGCAATCAGTGACTCGCACATCTTTGCGGCCCAAGCGAATAAAGCTGTGGTAAATGTTTATAGTCGAGAAAGGGGCAATCAAGAAGCGACGATTCCATTTCCCGAGCGGATATCCGGTCTCGCATATGCTCACGGGGCAGAGATCTTGGTTCTAGGGACCGAAGGAGGGAAACTGATTCTCTGGGAAGTTGCAACGGGCAGAGTAACAAACTCAGCGGCTTCTCATCTTCAAGCTGTGTCGTGTCTTTGCATCACCGCCAGGAATGAATACATCATTTCTGGCTCTGCTGACTCGAGTATTCATGTTTGGTCACTAGCAAAACTAGTCGCTTTTGCGCCATCCTCAGATAGCTATGCAAATCACGGTGCTTCAAATGCTCCTGTCAAGACCTTCTCCGGACATCGAACGGCCATCAGCGCGTTGACATGTGGCCACTCTAGCATCACCACGAATTTTGCAGTATCAGCCTCCAGCGACGGCACTTGCTATATCTGGCATATCGAAACATGTCAAATCTTGCGGACTCTATTGTTACCCTCTCATGCTGTTTCAATCGCACTTGACCCCGCAGATAGAGCCATCTATTTTGGATGCAATGATGGGAGAATTCAGTCCTGGGACGTCTTTCAACAATCACCAACGTCCAGCATTGCACTATCCGGCTCGTCTGTTTTCCCAGCCATCCAGCTTTTAGATAAGGACGGTTGGAAAGCCCCGTCCGAGGTCGGAACAGCGAATTGTGTCACACTATCTTATGATGGGACCTCTCTCCTCTCGGGCCACGGGAATGGAGCCATCATCCGCTGGGATGTTGCCAAGCATCGAATTCTACAAGAGATCACGAATTTTGGCCAACCAGTTACCAATATCGAGATGATCAGGCCTGAAGGCTTTCCACGCATGAAAAGACCAGGATACAGTATCCCAATGGTTGTTAAACCCAATCTCGAATTGGCCACGATGAAGGATAACGGTACTTGCGGCGTCCCCACGAAGTACAATCTCCATGTTATGATCAATGCGCCAAAAAGCCTATCCGAACAAGACGAGTTTGAAAAAGCTCTTACCGGCTCCGGCTTCCCACAATACCTGCTCGACTCAGCCATCCGTTCTCTGGAAATGGGTAATACCGCCACCCAATTCCCGGTCACAGCAGATGTCTTTGAGATATCCAAAGCAGAAAGACTGGAAGAGGAGGTCTCCAAATTGAAGCAGCAACTCACTATCCTGCACAACCTAGAAGCAAAGCGGCGAGACAGGAAGCTTGCGAGAATGGGTAAGCGAGATGAATTAGCGTTGAAGAAGAGAGAAGCCTATTTCGAGGCAAAAAGCAAGGGAAAGGATGGGGATGCGGCGATGAAAAAGTGGGAGGAGAAGGAGGCGGAGCTTGATCGGGAGAGTGAGGAGGAAGATCTCGAAGGGGACGAAATGGATGTTGGTTGGAGACGTTGAAAATCCGTTCCCTTGGTTCAGGTTGGAAAAGTCCCTTGAAGAATACCGACAACCTCATTAAACTTGTCAAAAACGGTGGCGCAAGCTCAGTCTCATGGCCTTCATTCAAAAGTCTCGACATCCGCGATGCATTTTGGATTGCGGTAATACTGGAGACCATGCTCTCTCCTTGCACGGCGCGTTGCCATGCCTCGTCGATGGTCGGGGCAGTCCCGAAGGGCTATCATCGGAATTTGCGGCCGTCAATCCTTCGTCAAGGATCTCGATCCTTGTGCAGTCCATTTTGGCTATTGCTCAAGCAGACCTAGTGCTCGAACTCCCAATTAATCCCTTCTTGAGGCGAAGCGCCGGAGGAGGAAGGAGGACGCTGGCTGGTTCCTAAGAGGACTGAACGCCAACAACAAGTGCTGTCGAGCTGATCTTAGACGAAGCGAATTCTGATCTCACTCCTGTTCAGGCAGGCATGGTGTAAGTCTTTGCTACCCCTTAGAGGTAGCCCGTAGCGGCCTCAGAAGCAAGCCAAAGCACAAGGCAGGAGTTGAAAGACGGATATAAAGAGCGCGGTTGAGGCCCAGAGAGTGGGTGTTGATACTGGTGCTGGCGCCGGCGGTAGGAGACGGCTCCAGAGCCCGGTATCCCCAATCGCAGATGTCTTGTTCGAAGGAGAGAAGAGATGCGTACATCTGCTCAACTTTTTTCGTTGCCTGCTGGTGGAACACAGCATTGCAGACTGCCCCACTGTTGTGGCTAGGCTGCGGCTCCTTACTTCCAACACCCGAACGACACCGAGGCAATGTCCCTCAAGCCCGCTTCTGTTTGGGAGTAACGAGGCTGGCTCATTCCTAGCATTCGAGTTCCGTTAGTCGAAACGACCAGGGACGACGGAGGTCAGCGTCCACGAAGGAAATGGCAAAACTCATATGAGGAACCTGAGATGGCCTCCTAATAGCTGATTCTCTGCTAAGCTTTCCGAGAGTATTCTTCACCACCTGCAGTAGAAGGTTCAGGAGTTAGAAATACTTCCAATCAAGAAGTTAAGCAACAGAAGAGAATGCTAAATGTTATTTAGAAGGAAGTCGAAGTGGTGGAAATGGAAATATCACGGGTCACAGGCCCGCGGCGCGAGGAATGGCCAACGTCTGGCGTCAGTTGCGAGCGTATCCCTACGACAACAACTGCGGATAAAAACAGCCCATGAAAAGGTCCGAGGGCGTCTGTTTGCAGTGCTTGACGTGGCCCTGTGGCGTCGTTGAACCCATGACGCCTCAAAAAGCACCGGATGGCGTGTCGGGGGAATGGATGGGGCTTGGACGTGTTCGGCAAACGTGCAACAGGTGCCTGAGAAGACCAGATGCAGGGGTCTGAATATCTCGCAAATGCATAACACGGATGCCCGGGAACGGACAAACTGTACAGAAAACCGAGCGGCACGAGGTAATGATATATCCTGGCGCCTCGGTCAAAATTATATGGATTGTCTACGCGATGGCTAAACTTGATAGTATTAGCTTTAGCGTCAGTAATACCACTAGTCTCTAGTGTAAACGAGATCGAGAGTCAAGCCGAACATAGATTGACAATCAAGCACAAGAATGCATCTCCATATCAAGAGACCGAGGTGTTTGAGGCACCGTTCACACCAGGGTCCATAAGTAGCCTGACTGAGTCCAATGGTTCTCGAAATGATTGATAACCAGAGGGTTAGACTGCGCCAACGCGTACAGGGACCTAGTTGTATGAGGCGTCTTTAAGACGGGGTTCTGGAAATAGACCAAATGAGTAGCAGATCCTCAAAATGCAGGATAACGTCGGCTACCGGGATGTCCCGTATTGTTGGGCACTCTCTTCATCGATCTTCGTCCATCTTTCCATGGTCGTACGCCAGCACAGTCAAGTCGCCCACTCCAGTTCGCCCAAATCTCAAGTAGCGCCAGTTGTATCACGAAAATCAGCCAAGAGAGATGTACTCACCCATTGGAAGGCTTGTTGTCATTTGTCGTCGTTGCTCACCTCTAATTTCTTTGGCACCCCGAACCGCATCATCTTCACCGCGTTGTTCGAGACCAGCGTAAGTTTGGAAGCAGGGGGAAGACAGGGTTTTTTCGTCCAATCTTTACTCCGACGCAGCTTGACGGGCTCTTTTTTGGGCCTGGTACGGGTGCTTTCAGTCCAGGCACTGGGTTCCATGGTGGCTGTAGTTGCAGAGGTAATCGCGCCTGAGGACAAAATAAGCGAGATATATAAAAATCGGCAGAAAAACACGCGAGAGAGAGGGTGGGAGGAAGAAGGAATAAGGCCCGGCGGTAGAGAAGATGGTTTAGAAAGAGCACGACAGAGCGCTTCCCCTTCAATAGGGGAATAAAACCCTCATTTAGGGGAGAATGAATTGTCATTGGTATCAATGTCTGTGGAAGAAGTCAGAGTTGTCAATGGCTTTCCAGCTGTCCGTGGAAACATCGTCTGCGAGTCGTCAGATATTTTTCGTAACCCCAGGCTGAATCTTCTCCAGGATATCGCTTAGTTCCTTCCACACCTTCTCGCCAGCAACCTCACTATCCTTGCTTCTCACGAAGGGTGAGAGCTCGCCTTCATTGACCTTTCCATCCGACATATACTTGCCATGCGACTCCATCTCTGCCGCGGCAGAAGCCACCAGGGTTCGACTGCCCACCTCGGTCGAGCGGGCGAGGAAGAACTTCAGCACCTCCAACACCCAGGACCCGTCGCGCGAGAGCTCTGAATGACATAGGCCAGGGTTGAGATAGTTCAAGATGACGCCGGACCCGGTGAGCTTGGGCGCGATCTGGCGAACGACGAGAACTTCCAGCAGTTTGCTTGTCTGGTACCGCTCATTCATCTTGGCTGTTTTCTCGCCATCTAGCGTCTCAAAAATCCGAGGCTCTTTCCATTCCGCAAACTTGGTCCAGCCGTGCACTTCGCTGGATACGATGGTGAGGCGCGGGCTGGTCTTGAATTCCTTGGCCGTCGACTTCAATTTCGGCAGCAACAACAGGGCGAGGAGGAAGGTGCTGATGACATTAACTGTGATGGTGCGCTCGTGTCCTTCGGCCTGGCTATACTTTTGGACTGCGATTCCTGCGTTCTCGAGCAGGACGTCGATACGGGGAAGCTGGGATGCGCGGTTGGCAAACGCATTGACGGAGTCGTACGAGGCGAGATCGAGTTCCCAGACCTCAATCACGCCGCGGTTGCAGTTCGTGGTCTTTTCGATGTCCTTCTTTGCGTCTTCCCCGGCCTTGGTGTTCCGCACAGCGAGGATTAGTTTCGAGGCGCCCAGACGAGCAAAATGCCGGGCAGCTTCCTTTCCTAGGCCGGTGTTGCTTCCAGTCACAATGACAGTCTCTCCGGCGAAAGACCTCTTGGGATAAGCCGGTTTGATGAATAGTTGAGAGTATAAAAAGCCCATAATGACGATGTAAACGAACTGCGCAGAATCCTGCTACAAGCGATGGCCACGAATGTCAGGCTGGGAATTTGCAATCCCACTTACGTTGTGATTGACAGCGGATTCCAAGGACGAGACGCTCGCCCACCTTCAAGCATTTTATATCAATCCCCAACGCCGTTTTCACCTGCAAAGGGAAACCAATTAATCCCGGTGCTACTTCATAGACATCATGAAGACGCCCGGGTCCAAAGGAAATGCCTGAAAAAGGCATTCAAGCTTCTAGCAACCTGGACGACATGCTCGACGCTAAGCCTCGCAGGGCGAAACCGTGCGAAATTGGTCGTCACCATCTGCATCCCCAAGGAGGACGAGGTGGTGGTGGTGGTGGGCTGCAGAGAGTGGGTCGGATTTAAACGCAGCAAAATCCGCCCAAAGCCCCTTTTAGCTGCCTTTGGCATCGTCTGCCGGCACAAAATCGTCCCGAGCCAAGCGTTTGTCCGCTAAGTCGAGGAGATAACAATATACTGATGTAGAGATATAGCTGCAAGGTGGTCGGCAGGCTCATGCAGTCCGCGAAGCATTCACCTCTAACGACGACCTTTGACGGTGGCAGGCCTTCGAGGCTGAAGGGCGAGGCTGAAACGGTAAGGCCTGTCAGGGCTTTGGACAGCGATTTCCGGCTTTAATATTGAATTCAGAGCTAATCATTCTCTCGACCAACTCGCTTGCAAGCTCAAGGCTTTATGATACCTTAGCAAAGGCCTTACGTTCAAAAGATTGGAACCCGAACAACCCCACAAACAGATCCACCAAAGGGTAACAAAACCTGCCTCTTCAAACATGGAAATCCAAAACCCCCCAAAGAAAATCAATCATTGACCATGGTAGGCTTGATACCCATCCTTATCATAATCCTCTTCCTGCTGAGGAGGTAAGTGGGCGAACGCACCTGAATAGCCAAGGTTCTCCATGGCATTCTGGTGAGGGACTAGAATTTCCTCATCATCAAAGCCCATCATGGCTGGGTCTACCATTGTGGTAGCCGACTCCGGAGGTCCTTCCTGGTGCTCGCCGGGCTCGTATTCAGCACCGTGTATGTTGTCTGTGTTGTGTGAGCTGTAAGCTCCAGAGAAGTGGCGGCCTCCTGCTCCAGGGCTTTGGAAACCATGCTGATCATAAGTGGATGGGTGCATTTGGTCAGGGTGCATTTGGTCAGGGTGCATTTGGTCAGGGTGCATTTGGTCAGGGTGCATTTGGTCAGGGTGTATTGGGTCAGTGGTGTGAGGTGCTGCATGTTCGTCCTCTCCAGCGCGTTCGTGGCCCATGTTGAGGAAACTGTCGTCCTCTTCGCCCTGTTGCATGTCGAGGAAGTTGTCGCCGTGTTGTGTGCTCTGATGCTGGTGTTGCTGGGTTGCTGGAGCAGGATGCTCATGGCCCGAGCTGCCGGTCATGTCGAGAAAACTAGAGTCAGGGTCATCCATGTCTCCGAAGCTGCTATCATGTCGTAGTTGCCCATATCCAGCAGAAGGATGGGAAGCCTGCATGGGATGAGAATGCTGCATTGATTGAGGAGGCTGCATTGGGTGTGAGGGCTGTATGGGATGAGAAGGCGGTATGAGTTGAGAAGGCTGTATTGGCCAGCATTGTGATCTGGGGTGTGAAGCCATTTTGATTCGTAAGTCTTCGCTTATGGCTGGGGAGTCCCACCATGTACTAGTTGTTTAGAGTTAGAAGAAGTAGGACAGGCTATTGAGGGAGGACTATATAGCTGATAATTGACAGTGAGTGGTTGAAACTGGCTTTCGTACGAAATATTGAGTGCCTTTTTATGTACATCATGAAGGATGTTCTCCCTAGGTACGTACGTGATTATCCCGGAACTAGATTGAAGTTCCCATCCAGAAAATCAATGGGCCAAGCCAGAATACTTCGTATAAGCCCTCTGGTCAGTCATATAGTCTGACTACAAGTGCCTTCTACATTGTGGTTGGCGGGTGTTCGATCCTTCTCCTATCATCCAGTAATATCAAAGCTATGCACCAAACATTCCAGACAAACTAGCCCATTTCCGGTCAAAGGTACCGGATTGAGTAAGTACATATGTGGCTGAAGAGAAGTGCCGATGCCATGATTATGTCCTCTACTGACCTCTATTGTAGGCCTTTTCCACTTGCATAAATCGGCCTCCATCTAGCTTCCACTGGCCTGGAAGAGTCTAGACCACTTTCTCAACGACGCTTCTTCGGGCTATTGCCAACCCTCACTTTGGGGCCATTATCGAGAAATGCGATACGACCGGTGGCTGAGTAACTGCTGTTGCGGGTCGCTCGAGAAGCACGGGTGCCACTTGGGTCTGTTTGAGTCGGGTGCCGGTGGGTCTGCGGTCGAATTTCAGGCCTGACCTGTTGATGCTTATGTTGATTATGCTTATCATTGACTGCCCTTGAATACCTGGATGGGGGTCATCCTGACACGAGAAAGATAAGCGCGGATTCTCAGGTTGCCATATCAATATCTCATGCCTTCTTTCGTTCTCCTAGAAAGCGCTAGGAAGCCGGAGTTACTCATTGGCATCGTAGGCACCCATAAGCCTGTGGATATGTCTTTAAAATACGGTGCCTGAAGAGATCTCGAACCTGTATGCGGATATCATATGGATATAGGTAAGCTGGTTCTCTTGCGAACTTCAAAGGAAGTGGTGATGGTGGAGGACAGGGAAGAGAGAGAAAATAGAACGCAACACAGTGGGTGCAACCAGCGACCTACCTCGTCCTGACTCCTACTCGCTCCCCAGATGCACCAGAGGATAAGCGAAAGGGCCACTCTCTGCATTTTTGGCATACGCAGTCTTGTCCTGATTTAGCCGTCATGTCTGGGTATGTCACGCCTCACCCTGCCTGACCCGACCCGAACCTGTGCAGGTCGAATTGCCTCGTTGTCCGCATCTGGACAACATGCTTTGCAGTATATGGCAGTTGAGCGGTGAGCGAGATCGTGGAGAATCAGAGGACAGGGGTTAGTTCTTACTATCTACCGGATAGTCTCTACTCCTTACCCCCTAACCGCCGTCCCACTACCACCAATTCGGTCACTTCACTATTACCTAACTACCGAAGAACATACATAACACGGTGACTAGCCCTGCGTAGGGAACACCTAACAAGGCTGGCTATAAGGGGATCACCCCACCTAGTACGAAGTGCTTTAGCCTCATATTCCGTATTGACCGATATTGATCCCTCGTACAGGGAGTCGGTCCGACAGCCTTTTTCCAAGAAATGACCCCACCTGTATTGAGTCGGGGATTGTCTCCTCCCGTCTTGATTTGGCCAAGTGGTCTTTTTTCCAGTGAATCTGGTGTACCGATCCCTTAGAGAGTCGTCAACCAATCTTTAGAGAATGCTAAAGGTTTGGACACAATTAGGGACGCTGAAACCTCCAAACTGCCCTCTTCAACTTGCAAGCCTTACTGGACAAGAGAGAGCTAGTCCGGTCAACATTTACCATTCATCCTGCTAGGTACCTATCCAGGAGTAGAAAAATCCGATGTCGGACTCCTCTTCTCAGCAAGACACTCTACGGGTCCGGCTCAGCTACGAACCACAGCCTTTGAAATTCGGCACCAGTGGCCGCCGTGGCAAAGTCGTTGATTTGAGTCAGCTCGAGATCTACACGAATGTCGTCGCTGAGATTGATTACCTCCTCTCCCTCGAGCCTTCCCAAGGCGGGATTCGGGTCGGTGATGACTTTTATTTTGCGTACGACCTGCGTCCCAGCTCTACCAAGTTCGTCGAGAACCATCGCGGTGGCATCTGTCAGGCAGTCGAGCAAGCTCTGAGGGATAAGGGCATGTACCCAGTGAATCTAGGAGCGATCCCCACCCCCGCACTGACATCCTATGCCATTCAAAACGAGAAAGGTTCCATTATGGTCACTGGTAGCCATATCCCTTTCGACCGTAATGGGTACAAACTCAATACCTCCACAGGCGAGCTGTTGAAAAAGGACGAGCAACCGATCAACGCCAATGTCGAACGCGTACGCGAGAAACTCCTCGACGAGCTCTATGCCGAATCACCGTTTGATGACAAAGGCAATCTGCGCAATGGAAAGTCGGATCTTCTGCCCGTTCTAGGCGACGGTCAGGGCGCCTACATCAGGCGGTACCTGGATTTCTTTGAAGGCGAGGTCCTTCAAGGCATGAAACTCCTCGTCTACCAGCATTCCGCCGTGGGGCGAGATGTCCTCGTCGACATCTTGCAAAAACTTGGCGCCCAAGTGACCACCGCGGGCCGCAGCTCCACCTTTGTCCCCATCGACACCGAAGCAATCGACGTGGCCCAACTCAGTACCATCCAAAACCTCTTCGACGAGGCCGGTGCGACCTTCGACGCCGTCGTCTCCACTGATGGCGACAGCGATCGCCCGCTCCTCGTTGCCCCAGAAGGTGGCAAGCTTCGGTTCTTCGGGGGTGACCTCCTGGGCATGATAGTCGCCGAGTTCCTGGGGGCCGACGCTGTAGTAGTACCCATCAGCACCAATGATGCGATCGACCGCGGGCCTCTCGCCCCTGCCCTCCAAGCTAAAACAAAAATCGGGAGTCCATACGTTATTGCTGGTATGCAAGCCGCAGCTGCTAAAGGCCATCGACGTGTCTGTGGATGGGAAGCCAACGGCGGGTTTCTCACCGGCTCCGACATCCACCGTAATGGTAGAATACTGACCGCGCTTCCAACGAGGGACGCAGTGCTACCTCTCATCTGTGCTCTCACAGCCGCAAATCAACGCCGGATGCCGATACCAGAACTTTTTTCAACGTTACCCCTACGGTTTAGCCGTGCTTCGCTGTTACGAAATTTCCCCCGTTCAACCAGTATGGAAATCGTCAGACGCTTTTCACCACCTAATGCCGCCGTGCAAGAGGTCTCGTACTATCCGGACCTCGTTACCGTCCAAGACCAATCTCAAGCTTTGACTCGACCCAGCAAGACGGATGCGGAGAAACTGGAGCAGATTCGCAAAGAACTGCAGACTGTATTTTCGGCCAAAGCTGGCTTCGCTGCAATCGCAAGAGTGAACTACACCGATGGTGTGCGTGTTATTTTTACCAACGGCGACGTAGCCCATATCCGCCCGTCTGGCAATGCCGACGAATTCCGCATCTACTCTGTCGCCGACACCCAGACGCGTGCTGACGAGATTGTTGCTCAGGGTATCGCGGAGCCGAATGGCCTTTTGAGACAACTAGAGCATATAGTGCAAAATTCAGCATCATCATAGCAGGCACCATACTCCAGGCGCTATTATGCAGATTCACGGGTTGAATTGCCAATCAAGGATGGCAAAGTACGGTCTCCAAAAAAAAAAAAAAAAAAAAAAAAAAAACAGATAGAGATAATTAGAATCAAGAAGGTAAAACAAAAATGGGCGAAGCTTTAGAAATCCATTCCTTCGCCCTGTAGCCATTGTTTCGCCTTCCAATAGAGTCGATTGTGCTTCCTTGCAGCGATTTTGTTCCCGCACTCCATCCTCTTCCCCCGATTGTAGGCCGGCACACCCTTGAAGACGTTCACACCCATGATCCGCTCATGATAATACGCTAGGTGTTAATACACCAAAGGGAAGCCCTCGATCTAAGCATCATCGATCCCGGGGACGTCGTTCGGGCTTACCGGGATGAGTTTTCCCTTTTCGCACCAATGTCCGACGAACATAGCCTTCCATTCCCCATGCCCCCCTCCTTTGATGTCTGAGGTGATGCTGTGGGAGCGATGCATAATGAAGACCCCAGAGTCCATGCCCTGTTATAAAGACTCGACGAAGTCTTCGTAATGTGTCTTCTCGGTCCATGTAGTGTATATAGAGGAGGGATCGAAAACAGATTCAAGGATTGCCACTCGCATGCATCTCTTTCATAGCGCATTAGCCGATAGGGTCGCGGTCCCCCCTGTCTTCCTTTGGGGGAACCCGGGGGCGGTCAGAATAACAATGGCTCCTACCGGTAGATAGGTCATCCTTCAGAAAGCTCTCTCTGAATCTGTAGGGCTCTAAGAGCAGTGAATCAGGTCCTTTTTTGCAAAAGGCATTCTCGGTCAAGAGCCCTTGGGAAGACGGTAAACGTCGATCATGATATCTGCCCATTTAATACTCCTACGCCCCGGGTGAGCTCCTTGAATATAGCAGCTCTGTATGAACGGTCAGGCCATATGGATGGACTGGAAGCCGTTTGCGCCGAGAGAGAAGATCTGATCTCTGAAGGCAAAACTCAAATTTCAACGATGGATGTCCCTGGGACTGACACGGTGTTTGCAATACGGCCTTTCTCGGCTAGTATAGACGCTGGATCATCTTGATTCTTGCCTCGGAATTGGTATCGCGCTTCGAAGCTGATTGTTGGACCCGGATAAGTGATTTTCCGCTGAGAGGAGGTTAAACTGGTGGTAAACCTGGATCAGACAGTCCTTCGACCCAAGAAGCTATCCCGTGAAGCATGAGAATCATGGGTTTCATGGCCATAAGCACCGCTCGAGAAGCCGCGAAGCATTTTGTGTGGCTACCGCTGCCGACGGTCTTCCCGGTTAGCTTTCTGCTACCTTATTTCTCATACATTCACCGTAGAGCATGCGACCAGGACGAGCACTTTATGTCGCTCAGGGAATTCCCAATTTTCCGCCACCATTGTACAAGGTGCAAGTACTGGATGACCCCAAAGCAGGCTGCGCAGTTTGAGTAAGGCGGGGAACAACCTACACTTGACATGGAACCTTCGGGGTGCCCATCATCTCAGAGATGCTGTGCAGGTCTAACAAAGTGATAGAGACGAGGAAGAGCGCGCTTTGGGTCAGATATCCTTACTCAGTGATCGGCATGGCCATCCTGCCTTGCACGTTAAAAGAGAAAATCGTAAGAGCAAAGATATAGAGTAGATGGCTTCCTGCATGAAATTTGCGGATGAAGCTGTGAGGTGACGAGTTGAGGTGTCGCGCTCAACTTGTTATTAGGACTGTCGTTTCGGATATAATTGCGCTTGTCTCCTCCTCTTCCGCAATCCCGACGGTAAGTAGTCGGGGGTATTTCAAAGACACGTGAGGCTTGCATATGGTGACATAGAAACGCAAGGGACCTCTTTCCAGATCATATTCATTCACTATCCACGTCGCCCGCCCAAAACCCAGTCGGAACGCTGTAAGGGTCGGCAATGGGACCTCTCTTCATAGGCGGTGCGTAGACAGTCACAGAACTATCGTTCGATTTCCGCGGTAAAACTCCTGTCCGCAAGAAGCCGTTCTCGATCTCGGCTGAGTATTGATAGGGTACTGTTGAAATTGAGGTGCAAGTAAGTTCTCTTTGTTCTGGTAAACTCCGCGGCTGCAGAGAGCAGATGGTACTCACAGTTAAATGAAACATGGTCGTCGCCATGCCGGACAACTAAATGACTATTCGGAATATCGCTCATTGCCATCGTCGTCCATTCCGTGGGCGCGCTATGTCAAGGGAGTTGTCAGAAGATTGCTTGGAGCAGTAACATTTCTGTCCTTTCATCCAACACCTACCTGCCATCGAAATCTGCTGTGACGAGAAGCATGGGTAGTTCTGTACGGAGCCGTTCCAAAGATGCTGTATCAAAAGGCCAAGCTGAGCAAGCAAGCTAGACCCTGTTAGCATGAGGTGGAACGACAGGAAGTAGTGAGAAAACATACCTGCGTTAACCAGGCTGTCGTTTGACCCAAGTTGTTGGTATCATGCTAACCGACCTCGGTCAGCCTTATGCCTCTGTTGAAGTCGAGTTTCAAATGAGATTTTACCACCAAGCCGTCGTTCAGAGATTTGTGAAATTCGGAGAAGGTTTTGGTTTGTGCTATACATTCGTCAGATCAACTGTGATTGTTTGCAAATGGATACACACGTACGAGAGTCGCCGCACTCCAGAATGTAAGCCACGATATTCTCGACTGTCAATGCTTGTTCCGGCAAAGCTTCTAGGGCGCTGATATTCGACGACAAGGTGGAAATCAAATCAATAACCTGGGGAAAGTCTGGCTGACCCTGAAATAGTCCAGAGATGACTGATTGAATCGTCCAAACAGAATCGATGGATGAGTTCGAGGCCGCCTTGATGATCCCACGGTATGCCTGGCATATTTTAGCATATCATCTGGCCAGACCGAAGTTATTGAGGTTGTGGCCCCCACTCTTGCAACACTGCCTTTGCCTGCATCTCTAAGGGGACATGAAGAGTTATTCTGGCAATATGCATCTGCCCTCAATAACACACGATTTGCGGCTACTATCTGATCTTCCGCTTGCTGCCCAGAAGTCTGCAAATAGTCATCAGTTCTCAATATAAACTACAAAATTGGTGCACGTACAACTCCATGCGGCACTACCGCGTCCAACACAAAGCGGCCCACAGAGTCAGGATACATGTGGGCAAACTGTAAAGCTCGATAGCTGCCACTGTGGCGTTGCTTGTATTTAGGGATATGTCTATCAGCAGCTCAAGAGAGGCTTGACTCACTAAGAAGCACCTAGGAAATGGACTTGATCGTAACCTAGAGCCTGACGTATCTGATTGTAGTCCTGCACAACCTCTCGGGTTCCGACGTGTCCGATGATTCCATGGGGTAAGTTCGAATCAACCCACGACTGTATGGCGGCAGCGGCGATCTCTCTCACATTCTCGAATTCGGCCTGAGATGTTGGGCTTTTTGACTGTTATGTTTCGTACACTCTGGGCAAGGATAGGTGGAGAGACCCACTAGGGGGCAAACAAAGGCAGCACTTTGTCCAACGAAACATTCAGAGGATTGGAGCTATACGTCCCACGAATGTCCATCACTGACGATGATCAGTTTCAACAACAAAGAAGCGGCCCGGTGTTCGGTACTCATCAAGTCGTAATCTGTCAACCCTGAGAAATCAGGAGTAAACGGAGAGGTAATATTGAGAGCAGCATTCCATGCGTATACCACACCGTTATCTGAGCCACCGGGACAACTTGCACGGAGTCAATATTCTTCGCGACCAGACATTTTGCAAGGATGTGACTAACAAGAAGATGATGCCTTTTGGCTGAATGGGTCGATACATGGCGAGGCCGAGAGTTATATTGTTACTCTCACTTAGTGGCCTCGAGTAGTCCATTGGCACGACAATCTGGCCACACTTAAGTGTTGAAGGAAGGTCTTGAAGGTCCACGCCAGTCGAGTCGAAAACAGTCCTAGGTGGAACATGCTGGCGACAATCAGTCCAGAGGATTTGTGGACTAGCTGCTGCCAGGGGAAAAAGGAAACAGGAAAGCGGATACACCCATCCGAGAACGGGGAAAGGCATTTGACGCATTTTGAGAAAGCGAGTCAAGTTTCGAGAACTGATCCCAATAAGAAAATTTCAACGAGTAAAGAAGAGGCGTCCCGGTTCCCGGCAGAGTAGTCGGGAATTGGAAGTCGAGCAGGATGTAACAATCCAGAGGTCTTTATACCTTGTGAGTCCAAACTGCTAACATAAGTGCCTTGGAGGACAGCACAAGCACTGTTTTCGGGCTGATAAATGGGCATACCATTGTTTTAGAAGGATATCTCCTAAAGGCGTAGCAATTTCGAGCCGGCCAATAGCGAGGGCATGTGCTAAGGACAATTTACTGCAATTATGGACAGGGGTGGCTGACGCGGCTCAATAGTAAACTCCATGGGCGAGGTTCATGTGCGTGCCGAGTACGTGCACGGAGACTCAAACAACTAAAGGGGATTCTGCGGAGTCAACAATGCCCGCTATCCGACCTAGAAGCGCGTGGCCCTTTCCGAGACATAGTACACCCGCGGAGCAAAACACAGGACGAGAAGGGAGTAGGAACATGGGCTTATGGTATTGTGTGAGGCCATGGAGGTACCTTGTCAGGTAGAAGTGGAGGAGCGTGTTCAAGGGTACGAGGTATTGAAACTCGCTAGCGAGCTGATAGATGCTTAGCGTCTGGTTTTTAGGTCACGCTAGAGTCTTGGCGTCCAACTTGGGAAGGAGCGACGAGGCTCCACAACAGTAATTGTGCTTGTATGGATTGCGTCGGGAGTGACGGCTGCGAAAGGCTTAGCGTGTACTTCGTTGAAGTCAACATATCAGATGGTGGGCCCAGTGGCCTTAGGCTAGGTATCTACTGGTAAATGAGAGCTTTGGATTTGTACGGACTAAGTACCTCAACGCCACGAGGTTCGAAGCGTCCTCTCAGCTCCCACGTACAATGCGACTAACGCCACAACAGAGTGAAAGGTGGCAGTCTGCACGAAAGGTTCACCCGGTGTGACAGTCCCAGACTGTTTGCCTATTGTGCGAGCGTATCTCATGCCATGACCCGTGTTTGTGATGCCGTCGACGAAACGAGCCAAGCATCGTGAATATGCCAGAACTGGTTGCAAAACCTGCAAGTGTGTACCCTTGAGTTCCTATCGAATCCACATTTCGAATGCGATTCCTGAACGTGCTGCCCTTGCTTATCCTTCGCACGCGAAACCCATGGTTGTATACATCACTAACCATAGCCGTAGGATCCGCAAGGTCAAATGCGACGAAACGAAGCCGCAATGCCACCGATGCCAACGAAGTGGTCGAAACTGTGATGGATACGTGGACATTGTCACACAACATCAAAATACGAAATCATTCAAGTTCGTCAATTACATAAGCCACGGACCGTCGTTCGGTGCATGCCTTTTCCTACAAGACACGCGACAACGACAGGCTTTCGAATTCTACCAACTGCGATCATCTCTGGAACTCTCTGGCCCTTTCCGCGAAGAGACAGATGTTTGGAACAGGCTAGTGCTACAGGCAGCATATCATGAAACAGCCATCCGCCATGCGGTCTGCGCTTTAGCGAGCTTTCACCAAGAATATGAAGATGAGAATCTCTATGCTTCTAGTTTCCTAAGGACTGGCCTGGAACAGTACTCGTACGCACTCAAAGCTCTTGTCGCAGCAAAAGGAAGCTGCAGGTGCATGGAGGTGACCTTGATCGCTTGCATCGTGTTCACGTTCTGCGAGCATTTACAAGGACATCTTGGTTCTGCAAAGGCTCATGTGCACAGTGGTTTGAAGCTCCTGGATGCTTATGTAACACTGTCTAGAGAAGTGAACTCAGCTGGGCCAGCACATTCAGATCACTACCGACCGTACTTTCCGCTCACGATACTGATCATATTGTTCAGACGCCTGGATCGCCAGCTGGCAGAATTTGGGCAACAGCCTGTGCGTGCAGCTCATCACTCTCTCAGATTTCAGCCTCCATATCTTCCGGGTCGGTTTCAGTCCGTAGCAGCTGCCACCGCATCACTTGAAAACATTGTCGATCAGCTCATCGGAGTTACACAGGAAGCTACCGTTAGACAACTTGATAAGTGCTCTAGTGAAATGGCTGCATTGCGTGGAACCTGGTATGTACGGCTTTCGCAACAACTCGATCAGTGGAAGAGGGCCTTCGATGGGCTCTCATCCCTAGACTCGACAGGCAATCAAGACCAAGGGAACCACTACAATGAAGCAGTCCTGACTCTGCGTCTCTGGTATCTTTCATGCCGCCTCTTTCTTCTGCTTGATTCCCCGAATGAGGTCATGGATTATGATGAATGCATGCCGATATTCCAGTCAATGGTCGATGTTGCTCAAGGACTGCTGGAGGTTCAGAACAAGTGCGAACCTAAATCGATTATACCGACCCCTCAGAAACGCAAGAAGGCGTCGGCACCGATAATTGAGGCATTTAGGGTTCCCAAGTCCAAATGTGAACCATGTGAGCTGCAAGGTTTGGGGGGAGACTTTGCCACATTACGGCCCGTATACTTCTCCCGCTTTCCAATGTTGAACAAAGCCGTCTTTACATGCACGGCTTTGTCCCCAGTTCCGCCGCTGTTCATCGTCGTCACTCGGTGCCGTGAGCCAAAGGTACGACGTCAAGCACTGCAAATTCTCTCCCAACTCAACCGGCGTGATGGTTTTTGGGATTCAACCCTAGCTGCCATGTGTGCTGGAGCTCTATTGTACTCAGAGGAGCTGGACACGACCGATTTGCACGATCAGAGAGGAAAAGCCCAAGTTCTGAAGAAAGCTGGATCTACAAAGCAAATTCCCGTTGGTGCCCGAATGTTAGGCGTTCGGCCACAGTTTGGCGAAGGAAGATTGCTGACTTTTGAGTTTGTAAGGGCGCAATCGCGGCTTGAGATCCTGCGACGTTGATCCGCTGCGTAGTAAAAGTGCATGCTTCGGTCAGTAGCCTTTGACTAGGATTCAAGTGGAATGAATGCAGGATGTGGTGTGAATGGCGTCGAATCTTGAGGCTCGCTGTGCCCCCGCAACAATATCGAGATGTCTGTCGAAGCTGCTGTCGATACAATGTAAGAGGTATTGAAGGGCAATATAACTTGCTGTTCTCTCGTACGGTTTTGCACACATTCAAGAAGCGTGATGAATTGATGTTTCCAAGACAGTCTGGCGGCTAGGCGGGACGAAAGTGTTCCTGGTTACGCGCAGGAGTGCGCAGGACAGCTATCTAAAGCGGTGTTTAGCAGTCATGTTTAACCAGCAAGGTCTCAATAATCTCACGGATTGGCCTGTCTGTCGATGTTTTCCCTAAGAGCGTTCCTTGCCGCTGATACAAAGAGATGATTGTGAACAGAAAAGTTTTCCTAAATCCTGCCGCTCAGGATCGGCGACAGGTCTCCAGGATGAGCGCTCCCGAGACTAGTTCAACATTAGGATCGTCAACCGGAATCATCTGCTGGCAGCGTTAGTGCAGCTCAGCGGCAGTTGGAAGTGGTCGTATCAATTCGCACAGCTCCATGCAGATCTCTGCTGTCGTAGCTCTTGTGGCCTCAGAAGATGAAAAGAATGAAGGATGTCTATGGTATTTGACCGAAAGGTCCCAGATACTCCCGTGCATGCTCTGTATCACCTACACGCCATCTAGGGCGAATATGCTCTTCCATGCAATCATCAACAACAGTACCCTGAAAGGGAGGCAATTCCCAGCTGAGAGTTAGGCGAAGCCAATCTTTTAAGGCCTAGAAATAGCCACCGATTCAGCTTTTCCGCTCAAGGGGCTGCGTGAGGCCGAACTGAAGCCCCAGGAAAAGGTGTCATTTGTGCCATAGTATTAGTTATTCTCACGAGGTTGAAGGTGGCCTTCAGCCACACTTCTGAATTCAATATGGGTTTTGTTCCCATAAAAAAAGGAAGCCACTTCGTCATTACAAGTCTGGGCGTCACGTGTCTATATTCTTCCACTGGTCATCACGTGAGCAGAGCAACCGCAGCCTAATCCTCGAAAAAAGTCAGGTCGACTCAAATCTGCCTTTTCAATACACTCATTAACAAGTCTGTTGTACGGATCTCGAGCGCAATTCAGCTCTCGAGTCTCCGGTCTCCTGCTTTCTTCACCACGGTCTCCCTTACCTGCTTCATATCACCTTTCGCTTCTTCGCTCCGCATTTCAATCCTCGCAGCCGGTTCTGCATTTGAGCCTCGCTCGCAACCCATTCTCTGGAAGACTGCCTCTGTCCGCGTTAGCCAAATCTTTCAAACACGCAATTACGCTAAGAAGAGGATGCCTCCCAAAAAGGCCGTGGAAGAAAAGAAGATCCTGCTAGGCAGGCCTGGGAACAATCTGAAGAGCGGCATCGTATGTAGGCAGGTCCCGCACAAAATCGTTCACTTGTCCTTGGTCAAATTAGTAACTAACTACCAGCTGCTCTAGGTTGGCCTTGCTAATGTCGGCAAATCGACACTCTTCCAAGCCATCACAAAATGCTCGCTAGGCAACCCAGCGAACTTTCCTTATGCAACTATCGACCCTGAGGAGGCGCGAGTCATCGTCCCGGATGCACGATACGATTGGCTCTGCGAACACTACAAACCCAAATCTCAAGTCCCCGCTAATCTGACGGTGTATGATATCGCTGGTCTCACTCGAGGTTCTTCCACCGGCGCTGGTCTGGGTAACTCCTTCCTGTCGCACATCAGGGCCGTTGATGCGATCTTTGAAGTCGTGCGATGTTTTGACGACGCCGAGATTATTCACGTGGAAGGAGATGTCAACCCGACGAGAGATTTGGACATTATCTCCGAGGAGCTGCGGTTAAAGGACATTGAGTTCGTGGAGAAGGCCAAGGAAAACCTGTCCAAACAGACCAGGAGAGGTGGTCAAAGTCTGGAAATGAAGAAGTTGAGAGAAGAGGAGGCGACAGTTGACAAAATCCTGCAGTGGCTGAAAGACGGCAAGGATGTGAGAAAGGGTGATTGGGGTCCTAAAGAGGTATGTCATCCCTAATTCATTGCCCGCGCTCCGGATTTTTCATGATGAACAAGAGCTATACGCTCGATATAATCCCAGCTCGTCGACAGCAGTCTCACCCAAATCTCACGTTAAGAGGCTGTTATGAGAGGAAGTCCAACCCTGAAGCAATATTTTTCCCCATCTCATTTCATCTACACCATTTCTGGCTATGTTCCTCGCAAACTGACGAGATGGCATAGATCGAAGTTATCAACCCTCTGTTCCTCCTCACCGCCAAACCCGTAGTCTATCTCATCAACCTCTCCGAAAAAGACTATCTCCGCCAAAAGAATAAATACCTCCCTAAGGTGATGGAATGGATCAAAACCAACTCTCCAGGTGATCCAGTCATCCCCATGTCGGTCTCGTTTGAAGAACGTCTAGCTGCCATGTCCGACGCCGAAGCGGCCGAAGAATGCAAAAATCTCAACACCAAATCCGCTCTGCCGAAAGTTATTGTGACGATGAGACAGGCACTCAACCTAGCAAGCTTTTTCACCACTGGCGCAGATGAGGTGAGACAATGGACAATCAGGAAGGGCACGAAGGCTCCGCAAGCGGCTGGAGTGATCCATACCGATTTCGAGAAGACGTTTATCCAGTGTATTGTGTATAATTATGAGACATTGAGGGAATATGGTGATGAAAATGCCGTGAGAGCCGCCGGGAAAGTTATGACCAAGGGGAAGGATTATGGTAAGTTGTCTGATCCTTCTCGATACCTGATGAAGTTTTCAGTTCCGTGAAATCGCTGTGGCTAACAGTATTGGTACGCAGTTGTGGAAGATGGCGATATCATTCTCATCAAGGCCGGTGCGGCAAAGGCGTGAGACGATTGCAAAGGACAGCCCCAAAACCTTTCGCAATTTTGCTCTATCAGATCCGCGTCATTGCGCATTGGCTGCTAGCCTCAGATCTAAGAACTCATACAGTGCTGTCTCACAGGTGGCAATGTGTTTGTTTGTGATTTCTGATTTCTGGGCTTCCCATCAAAGGGAAAGAATCGGGCCATTCCTGAGTCGACTTTGACCCAATCCCAACCGTTCCTAGAAGTCCGCCAGTGCTACGTGTTACCCGATCCAACGAGAAGATCGTGGGCGATGACCTCGTCAACGCAGACAGAGGCCGGATGAATGACCCCCTTGGCAGCTGATGGGAGGGACCGAATAGACCAGTTCTTTCAAGATCGAAAATCCCTTCCAACGTCAAATTCTTGTTCCTTAAAACGCCCTCGCTGTCTGTGATATCCATCATGGGTGTGTACTCCGCACTGTCTATCTGGTGTGGCTCGTGCACTAGGATCGTTGCCTCAAAACCGTTCTCGCCTTCCACCAAAGATAGTGAAAATATCCTTTTCAAGCTCGCTACCTAGTGAGAACATCCGGGCGAGATTAAATCCAGAGCAGCGCCGACACACTTCCCAGCTCGTTTCTTTCTTTAATTTTGGATGCCCGGACAAGGACAAACAAGCACGAGTGGCGAGTAAGTAACAGGCACAAGTAACTAGAGAATAAGTCTTTCCGCTCTTCTGAGCCTCACTACGCAACAACCCCTTCCTTATTTTTCCACCCCCTTTCAGGTGAGATCGGGCTCTGGGGAGCCATCACATCACATCCCGTCCATCACGTACCCACTATACCCGTCACCGCCCAGCATCCTCTCCGTCTCCTGGCTCCAGCCGTCTTTCTTCTTGAGGAAGTCCCCGCCCAGCCACAGCCGGATGCACGTGTCGGCGGGCTTGCGCTGCGGCGACTCCATGGGGACGAGCTTGTAGAAGTTCTCGTCCAGAGACGTCGGCTCGCACGTGCACTGCCGCGCCTCCGCGGCGGGGAGCCAGAACCGGTCGTGGCGGTATTCTTCGCCTTCACTGCTGGAACTGGAACTGGTGCTGGTGACGATGCTGGAACTGGTGCTTGTTGTGCTGGTATGGTGACGGGTGACGATGGTGGTGGCCGTGGGGGGGAGGCCTTCGCTCGGTCCTGGCGGTGGACAATGCCGCGCGATGTCATGTTGATAACCAATGTCCCTGAACCACCACACCCTGTCCGGCGGGAGGAACATGGATACACTCAACGTGTGCACGGGCGCGTCGCCCCAGCGACTGTAGTAAAACCCACCCCTTTCCTCGAGCCAGTCGAAGTATTTCCTGTTCCCCTCGTCCTCGCGGAAGAAGGCGAGCGAGCCGATCTCGAAGTTGGAGAAGAACTGGCAGTTGTTGTAGGTCAGCCCCGTCTGCGGGTCAAGGAGCCAGTCGAGGCTCGCTTCGGGGTGGACCAGGTCCGGGTATGCGGTGATGAAATCGCGTGTCGTGGACCACAGCGAGGCAAAGCTCCGCGCGTCGTCCAGGATGACCATGTTGAATCCATACACCATCCCCGTCGCCTGCATAAACCGGAACGGGTCGTACGGGATGTCACAGAAGAAATGCACGTCCGGTTCCACGCGCCAGTAGTACTCATACGCGGCTAGAGCCGGGTGCAGGTAGAAGAGCCCGGATTGCCAGCGGATCATGGCGTGGTAACTGAGCAAGTGGCCCTTGCCGACGGACGTCAGGGAGAGGTAGTCCAGAGAGTTGTGGTAGAGGGTCTGGTTGATATGGGAGGGCGTAGCCCAGTGGGCATGGGGGACGAGATGATACTCTGTCTGCGCCGATGTGGCGTTCGAGGTCGCGGCCTTTTCCCAGCAGATGCACATGAGAGTTGTCAGTCAGCTCTCTTAGGTTTTGGATCCATTTCATTCGGCACCAGTTTCTTTTCCCCCCAGGCACCAAGCGAGCGCCGAAGAGCCGAGTCACCATGGAGCTGCACGTACCTTGAATTCTTCCGAGAATGGCTTCTCATTAAAGAAGATCCAGGGATACCGATAGCGCCGGTTCCAATGGAACTCCAATTGACGCATGCTCTGCAATATCCCGTCGAGCTCTTCGTTCCTCACAAGACTGATCAACGCAGCCTTTGGGCTCTTCGCTTGGAGATCGTTTGGATAGGAATTTTCTTTCAGCCATTTCACAGGTCTGTATTTGTTCTTGTTGGTGCCGAGACGGTGAGATTCTGAACGCCATCCCTTGGGGAGGTGAGAGAGGAGGTCGTTGTGGTGGGAGCGGATGCTGAGGTAGAGTTGGGCGGAAATCAAGACAGCGAGGAGGACGAGGAGCCAGCGCCAGATGGCCCTGTTCGACCGACGTAGGTGAGCGTAGACTGAGTATCGAGTGAAAGAAGGCTGTGGACTCTTGTAGGGCTGCCTGTGAGACGAGGGTAAAGAGGCACTGATCGGAGAGGAGGACTGTCGAGTGGTAGGGCGTGTGAAGGCGGCAACAGGTGGATATGCGCTGGAACTCGCGGCGCTCGAGGCTGAGTTGACAGCTGTGACAGTTGAGGGCAAACTGAGGGATTGGGCTCGCTGACCAGTCGGTGTCATAAGGGACGATGGATCCATGGCAATGTGTGAGGAACTGGTAGAGCAAGATTTGAAGTAGAACCGCTCGTTGGATTTGGAGGAGATTGGAACATAGTCAATGTGAACTTTAGTCTTCCATCACCGGCTTTTCATATCCCAGAAGTCATGCCCAACTCATTAAGTGAATTCTCCTGCCGTGAAAATGACGCTATTCCATTCCTCGTCCCGGGCTCGACCTGCACTTTGCGTCCAATTCCTGAGATTTCCCGACCAGTCCATGCGCCTCCCGTCCATCGAACCAGCTTAGAGAGCCATTTGATCTTGATCCTCAGGCGTGTCGTCCACGATATGTAACATTTTGGCATAAGGCACAGTGATCCGCTGTAGATCCCGATGTTTCCCTGTTCGAGCAAATGAGTAAACGCATACCGACAAACCCAAACACGGGGGAGGAGAGACTTACCCAGAAGCAAGACAACGTCCTTGAGGAGCTCTTCTCGAGGCCATCCGCAAATCGTCTTGGAATCTTCCTGCCAATTGCGGCCGTTCACCGCATTCATAGTCGCCGCAACACTCTCCCCATCTTCACCTGACGGTTCCACGATACCGCCAATCAGCGTTCTCAGGAGTTCCTCAACCTTCAACCTCAAACCTTCGGCTCCTAATCGTTTTGCGTAGACCAGCAGGTATATCCTGAACTCGTCCTTGGCCCCCAGCATTAGCGCCGCAGCGATCCGGTTTTCGAGATGAGCAATCGAAACACCAGACTCGAAACTTTCGAACCCTTCTCGCGACAATAAGACCTTGATAAGTCGCTGTAAAAAGTAGGCCCGGCCCCGTAGCAATGTTTCCGACGTGGTATTTCTCTCGAGCCACGGCACAATGCCGGAAGAGACATCCACAGATTTTTCAAAGTCGGTCTTTGCCTTTGAAGACTGGATGTTTCCCACCGAAGAATCGGTCGTGTTCCAATACTGACTGCCCACTGCCCACCAAACCTCGGACACCCGTTGCCAACAGAACATCTGAGGCGAATAGGCATACCCGTCGCCATTGGACAAGCTGACAATAATCCGACCCTCGGAATTCAAGCGAGCTTGTGTAATGGCAGGCGCACCTGTAGGGTGAGCGGCCAGTGAATGGCTAGCCGCGTCAAGGACGGGCGCCAGCGACACAGGCGGATGTGGGGATGACATGGTCTTTACATTCCACACATAGCACATGCCAACAGCAGTGATACACATCAGCCAAGAATCGTACGACGCAAGAATCACAGGTTGAGCTTCCATGACCAGCGCACTGTTTAGCCGTCGACCATGTGGTGTCCACAGGTAAACAGAACCTGTCTCATCTGCTGCTGCCCAAAAGGTTCTAGTCCCAGTGACCAAAAGGACCGGCCGAGGAAGAAAATCCTGCCACAGGGGCTGATCCTTCCTCGTCAGTGTGATTCGACAGGGTTCGCGATCCTGCGCCCGGGGAGTTAATGATTGTCCTGACGGATTCTTGGCCTCGAAGACAAATTCGGCTCTCGCCTTGGTCGCCGGGTCGCCGGATACTTCGCCTGGTTTGCCTGTAGAATCAATGCCCTGGACGATATGCGCTCGCACTTTGGGAACGGCAAGCCGAAGTTGACTGATGCTCAAAGCCTGGTTGATAACAGCTGGGCGGATGAACTCTGGAGTCACTTGTTGGCCACTCACGGCTGGCTGATGTTGTGCGGGCAGAAGACCATCCGCGCCGTTAACGAGAATGGGTATCGCCCCCTTCTGGCTCGCTGCCACCACTCGTTTTTCCGTGGTACCTTCTTCTTCCCCCTCAATCTGTGCGTATTTCCGTTTGTTTCCAAGCAATAATGCCGTCAGGCCTCCCTTTGGAAGCCCATCAAATGGTTTGGAGAGGTCCAGCACCGACTGGGGGGCATCGACCGTCTGCACATTCGCACTGGCACTGACCAGCTTCGTCTGCGGCAATGAAGACTCTGTCCCGCCGGCGCCAGATACCAGAAGCGGCCGTATTCTCTTTTTACCATCCTTAGTGATCTCGACTCGATTCTTGAGTCTCTCGAGTTTGACCTGGTTTTGGTCATCTTGCGCCTTCGCTGCGGCTTGTCCGTTGATCGTCGCTTGCGCAGTGCCATTGGTGAGGTTTTCGGTATTGGTGGCTGTACCATTCGCAGTGGCGATTGCTTTTTCTGCTGTCGCCGGTTGTGATGAGTGCAGATCGCCCATTAACGCGCCCATGCGTCCTTCCACGCCCTTGAGTTCACCCGCCTTGCTCATTTCTTCCAGCAAGAGCGCATCGGTGCTTTCAGGAAATCCGATCCCCTTTCTTGATGTGCCAAACTTGGAGAGTGACCGGTCGTTCTCTTCAATGGGTCTCGCGTAGCCCAATTCTCCCGGTTCGAACATGACCGTCAAAATGGTGCCGTCTAGCGCAGTTGCAAAAAGTATCTGACCATCAGGACTCCACGCGATATCCGAGATCGGTTTTCCAGCTATGTCTTGTTGCACTACAATGGGTCGTGGATTGCTCGTTGTCCAGATACTCAGGCATTTATCCGCCCCTCCACATGCGATTACCGTTGTGTGAGGTAACGGATGCTCTTCGAGTGAAGGCTTGGTAGGAGGTTCTCGCCCGTAGAGTCTCGGAGAAAATGCGCACACCTCCACTGGCCCTTCATGTCCGATCAAGGTGGTGTCTCCGTCCCAGGTGCCGCGATTGATGATGGCGATTGCGCTGACAGGGCCATTGACTGCATTAGCCGCCGCAATATGCATTCCATCCGGAGCCCAGGAGCATCTTCGGAAGTACGTTGTCAGGGGCGAATTCACGAATGGCTGGCTAATGGTCGTCTCCAGTGTGAAATTATTCACCGCGTCGTGTGTGGTGTAATTTTGCGTGGGAGAGGTGAATCGGAAGATTCGAATTGTTCGATCGTCGCTTGCCGTTGCAAAGTACTTGTTCGCAGGATCAAAAGTGATGCCTTTGACATGGCTAACGTGATTCGAGAGAGTCTTCAACTTCTCGAAAGTAAAGCCCGACCATACCACTACCTTTGAGTCCAAGCCCACCGATACCAGGATCGTCCCGTCGTATGACCAGCCCAGGTCTTGTACATCGTTGTCATGTCCAATCAGTCTACGAAAAATGCGCCAGTTCTCAACTGGAGGGGCCTCGTTTGTACCTGTCCCAATCTCAGCACATGCATCTTTGCGCCAACCCACCGCAACTTAACACACCAAATGTGGCATGGCTCGGCGGACTCGGGTCGAGAGTATATACGCAGACAATCTTGTCATCCGCTCCCGAAGCCAGAAACTTCCCGCCGGGGGAGAAGCGCACTGCGTGGATGGTACCGGAATGGTAACTCATCGATGCCAACTGCTTAGGCTTGTCGTATTTCACGTTTGCGGCATTGTAGATGGCCTCGGTCGACCAGATCCGCACGTAGCCATCTTTCAGTGTCAGTCAGCGAGCAAGTCCTTTGTCATGGTGCACAAATGTTGACGTACCGCCAGCTGCGGTGACCAGACGCTTGCCGTCAGGGGAGACATGGCAGCTATAGACTTCGAAATCTTTCTTTTCGCCTGTTAGACCACCTGTTAGCCTCTCGACTGTGTGGAAATGTCGATGCGACGCAGTCTACGCGGTTTGTGACGCGTTCAGGGGTGTTTTGGTGCGGGAAACGTCGAACCTCCGTGGGTGAGCCAGATGGGTTTGATGATGTGCATTGCGGATCTATCTCTGCAGCCGCCTGGAGCACATTCTGAAAAGGGGGGTCGACTAGATCATCTCAGAAGAGCGAGATCAGGATCGGGTTGAAGGTTGAGAAAAGACTGGTAGGTGGCTGATGAGAAGCAGAAATTGTGGCCGTGTTATAGTGTTGTTCGCACTCCGCAGTCCGCAGTTTGTAGTTTGGCATATGACAGCCTGACAGCCTCGCAGCATCGCAGCCTCGCAGCATAGTGGGCTTCGGCCTCTCCCTGGGAGGTGGGGGGGAAACAAGGCTGGGCAAGGCTGGACCAATAAGGCTGAATGTTAAGAGTACTCGTTGAGAGAGACCCCGATATCCTACTATTTTGTCCGTCTGTACTTTCTGACGGTCATAGAGCACTTTGGTTTATTAGTACATGGCTATCGACTTTTTGGGTCCTCAATCCATATCAAGTAATACACGCAGGTGCGCCGTCGCTGCGTCATGAAGGAGTCGAATATTCGCTTTTGCCTGGGACGACACGTCCGATTGTTATACCATTGAGGTGTCCGCCTACCTCCTTGCCTCCCGTGTCTGCTCAAATCCTTCGAGGACTGTCTGCGCAACATCTTTGGCATCCCCGTGCTGGGCCACATCGATCACTCTCGCCCCAACATCTTTCGATCTGGCGTCGTCTTTCGCAGTCGTTGTGCCAACAACCTTGGCCGCGAGATTTTTGGTTTGATTCTCGTTCACTTTCCCATACACAGCCATCGCGGTAGCAATCATCTGGCTGATGTCTCCAACATTGCCCGGCACGACAACGGCAGTTCCTTCCTTGGCCAGGTTGCCAAAGGCTTCAACATATTTCTCTGCAACACTCAAGCTGACAGCTCCTTGCGCATTGGCTTCTCCTCGTTTGATGGCTTCCGCAACGGCATCGATACCCCGGGCTGTTGCCTGTGCCTTCAGCAGGATGGCCTCGGCTTCACCAGATGCCATATTTATTTGCTCGGCCTTCAAAGCCTCGGAGGCCAAGATAACGGATTGTTTACGACCCTCGGCGATATTGATTGCACTCTGCCGCTGACCTTCGGAATCCAAGATTTCAGCTCTCTTTGATCGTTCCGCCGTAACTTGTCTATGCATGGCAGCGACTACGCCCTCTGGGGCATGGATATCTCTGATTTCGTATCTCAGGCACACCACGCCCCATTCTTGTGCGGCTTCGTTGATCGCCTGCGTAATGTTCGCATTGAGATTGGCTCTTTCCTTGAGGACATGATCGAGGGTGAGTTGGCCGATTTCAGACCTCATGGTCGTCTGCGCAAGCTGTGAGATGGCA